CAAAGAAAAATTCCTTTTCTTTTACGGATTAAGGACGTTACAATTAAATACTTCTTTATTAGCAGAGTATTATAAAATTGAACACGGATAAATTAAAAAACAGCGTGTGTCATCACAAATCGCGCTAATTCTAAGACTAAATACAAGTCATCAGCAGTGAAGCGCAAAAGTTTAGTTTGTCAAATAAAAATATATATTATTTACCTCATTAAGTAACTTAATTACGTAGGATGTTAAAGACAAAATTATTAAACTTTCCGGCAATCCGTGAGCCCCGGATAGCTGCGCAGAAAACGGTAGCGATCTTCGACGAAGCGAGGCATAAGACTTTAGTGCGCAAGGGGCATTAAGGGCATTAAAATGAAACAATCTTCATTAAGAGAATGCGGTAAGCTTGATTTCGGCCGCAAACAGATTAGAACCGGGGGTCCTTTCCACGAGGGCGCCCCAGGGAAGTAATTGCCTACACGCCGGGCGAGCGGAAATGGGACACGCCGCGTAAGCTCGTTCCGCTTTTTCGCCTTCGTAAGACGATCCACCTGCTCGAGTTAGACCTCCTACCTTCGACCTCTTGACCTGGGCGAACTAATAAAAGCTCTATCGAGTTAGTGTATCGGTCATTTTAATGTTAACTTTACATCAATTATCCGTAACATTAAGTCACGTTTTATTCAGATAAATGGATGATAAAAATTTTATTGCCGCGTAATATTGTATTTTTCGGGTTATTTTAGATAGCAATCTCCTCCCTTCATCGTTCCTTCCATTTTGCAAGAGCTGTTTATTTTAAATCGCTAAGGAAAAACAATTGCGATTCAGAATGGTTATATAACGCATGTTAAAAGAAAACCGCAAGAGTGGCTGCAACAATTTCTCGTTTACGTAGAAAATTATGGTTTTAAGAGATTGTTGGTCGCAAAGTTGGTCCATTTACAATTGTTTTAAAGTACACGGCAGCGAATGCGATCGCGTATATATACATATATATATATATATATATATATATTGCGTTTAAAACGACGCAATCTTAAGCGACTTGAAGCGAGAACTGGCTATAAAAGCGCAAGTGTATAACATAAACTTTCGCGCGTTGTCTTATACCGAAATACGTTCGATCGACCCACTGGCCTTCTCAGATTCTCTCCTGAGAATTATTTTTTTTTGCGCTCACACAGTGAAAAGAAAGATCTCGGAATAAGGTATGAGCTTTTTTTTATTGCCGAGACAAAACGAGGTCGTTCTGTGATATAAGCGATATCGTTGACATTAATCGCATAAATTTCAGAAAATATCTAAATGTCTGTCGATATTCGCGTCGCCAATATCACATTAATTTTAACGCGGGGATTTATTAAAATTAAAAAGTTACGCGCGGAATTTCAAATATATATATATACATACACGTAATTATGAAATTTTCTAAAATTGCGTAAAATGTTCTACAACATTCGCTAATATTTTTTCCAGGTATTGCTTCATAATCGCATTTATATATTACGTATGAATACTTTTAAGGTTTGAAAAAATAATTGTCGCAACATCGTAAAATTTTATCTTCGATTTTATTTAATAGTTACCGATGTGAAAAAGGATCATAACATAGTTATTAAAAATGTATTTTGATATGGACAGCGATATTTGCTCGCGAAAAACACGAAAATTATTTTTGACGATAAATTGTAAATAACGAACAGTATAATTTTTGACCCGATCAATATCACGCATACAAGCTAAGACGCGTTTTAATCTATTAAATCCAGAATTATTAAACAAAATTAAGTATTTTATATATGTAGAATTTCAGAGATACATATTATCTACATATCACATCAGTTATCTTATGCAAAACAGACATGTTATTAAAAGAGATTTTACTAAGATGTCGTAAGGTTTATAATCAGGATTGTTCTCAGTTCCGCGATGAATTATGGATTCAGGAGGATTCTACTTACCATCTAGCATAGACATCAATTTTATGCGTCGGTGAGACGATATCGTAGGACCCCGTTGGCGGTCCTTATATATAGGTGTATTAATTATTCCTATCGCGTAGACCCCGAGTCTGGCTTGTATTCCAGCACGTTGCAGTTGCAGTTGTAATGCATCCGCAGTTGGTCGTTTCGAGACGGCCGATATAGCTCCGCTCCGCCGCTTGCAGCCCCTTTCAAGGGGCACGTTCCATTTACGCGCAGTTTACAACTTCATGAGCCATTTACAGCTGCAGCAGTGGACCTTCTGCATCTTCTACAGCTAAGCGACTTAACTGACATTAGTTGGCCGCGCAATGTGACATTGTATTTGTACAAATTGTCGTGCGAGCTGTCATCTTGTCCTCCGATTAATTCAATTTTATTTTTTATTTGACTTTAATCGCGCTTTTTGATACTCTTCTTAGTGAAAAAAAGAAAATATGCCACACTCGCGTCAATAAGAGATGGGACATCTGTCGACCATGAACAAAATATATACAGCATCGAAACATTCTGGTCGCTCCCTGTAATCATGAAATTCCAAAACGGTGCTCTACTAACCACACCAGTTCTGAATTTCGACCATCACCTCTGCAGCTGTTGGGACATCAGATACTGCGCTTTATATGATTAACGCGAAATAACAGATTTCTGGTTAGAAATTCTAATCGCGGTACCGCCAGTAACACAAATCAAAGCAAAGGGCAATGGTCGCTGATGTCCAACTCGGGCCATGGTCCGTTTCTGTGTGTATAGAGCATATTAGCGTTTGTGTCATATCTACTCTCCGCTTGTGCACGGTGTTTAGACCGCACTTGGTTTCCGGTACGAGAGAGCGAGAGAGAGAGAGAGAGAGAGAGCGAGAGAGAAAGAGAGAGAGATAGTAGCCTAATATCGCGCGAATATTCATATTTCAACGCGGATTCGCTGCTCTCCGGGATGACGACGGTCAGCGTGTTTGGACGATCCAACATATCATGTATCACTCTCTACATGATTCTATAATCTGCACGACGGTATAGATTACTTCGTTCTAACGCGAATAACAATTAGGCATACTAAAATATTGATTGCAAAGTATCAGTAAAATGAAATTTCATTAAGCATATTATAATTTTTTACAAGAATTATTTGCTAATCGATCATCTTTGATAACAAATGCAAAAATATTTAGTATTCCTTTAAAATAGATATAAAAGAAGATTCTTCTCTCAAAAAGATTCTTAAAAGATAGAAAGAACTTTACATATTTTATAATACTTATTTATAGAGTGCAATTAATTATTACGAAATGATGAGAAAAAGTAAATAAAAAATGCAAAGTGTTAAAATATTATTGAATGTGAAAATATCATTAAGAATAATAAAGTTGATAAATAGCCTTAAAAGATTACAGCGTGTGAAAGAGCACATGAAATTGAATATAAATGATCGTTGCTAGAGTTATCAAGCTCAATCTGTTCCATGTATTTTGCAGGATACGATGGTGAATATGAAAACAGATATATCAACCTGTCCTGTCCAGATCAGCTCTTAGTTCTTTTTAAAGAGGAAAGCTTTGTGCCATAATCGCATATCAATCTCTTTTTCTAGCGTTGAGAAAGAGGAGAAAAGATTACACATGAATTTTTAAAGCAAACATTAATGATAAGTATTATCTCTATGTGAATGTACTTTTTTAACTCATAGTATATTATTTAACAATATCAGTCGTTGCATATTATCAATGTTAAGATAAACACCTATAATTATATTATTATAGAATAAAACTCTTTACGACGCAAGATAAAAAGGGATATGAGAATCACTAATTCTAATTCAAATGTCCAGAGCAAAATAGAACAGAATACATTAGCTATCGAATTGCATGTATATCGCCGTAGGCGTAAGCAATATACATGTATAGGCAACATTATTACCTTTAGCATGTCTATCAGCATACACGGTGTATATACACGTCTATTGAATTTAAGGTCTTATTTCTCAAACAATCTAATTAATTCTGCAATCTGATCTTCCTCAAATGCAAATGAATGTAAAATTGACATTTTATTATTAACCCTTTATTTATTGTTGACCCCTTATTTGCTATTAATCCCTTATTCATCAAACTACAATGGCGTTTCTAGGACGTGATTTGTGACGAATATATATCGAGAAGAAAGAGAGAGAGAGAGAGAGGGAGAGAGAGAGTGAGAAATGGGAGGAAAGAGAACTGGACTGTTTCAATCGAGATTTAATGCTTGCATTTACATTTAGAGCAGGTTCAGGGCAGACCATTGTTTACTAATCGGATCGGGAAAGTGGCGCGCTACCGGCCTGTGAGATTCGTTCTTAGTGCTGTAAACATGTTCGAATGACCGTTGGACAGTTTCTGTCCCCGATGGGGCTTAACGCAATCGTAACACACATTCTTTATACATTGTGATGAAACAGTCGTATTGGGAACATTCTTTAAAATTCGGGAATCGAAAACATTCTGATATTTTTTATAAACCGAAATTTTTTTAACATGAAATCTATTCAGATGACACTTTAAAATTAAAGTAATGCATAAATACATAAATTCGGAAACAAAATCAATGCATTTGAAAATATTATATGGTGCTCTTTGTAACTAAACTGCCACAAACATGTTTCTTTTTTCAATACTATTTCTTTTTGAAAATTGTACGGTATCAAAAAATTTGTTATACTGAATAATAAAAAAAGACGCAATCCAAAAAAACAGGTTTTATATGGACACTATGAAATACGCGCTTGTTTTCCTGCTTTTTGACCAGAACAGAAATATCTGGATGTGACTAAAGTTAACTATTTTCACTGTATATTTCTGTTGCGTGTGATGTGATAACATAAAAGCCTCTTGTTTTATCAGAAATATATATAACAATGATACGAGTTGTTGAATTCAAATTGCAATTTTTCTCAGTGACACATTGTCATATTTCTTTATTGTAATCATTTTTCTGACGATAATATTTGTCAACATTTACACTGAATTAATTCTGGTTTCCTTTTGTGTTACAGCTTTTGGTAGGCAATCACAATCCGTATTCGGAAAAAGAACAGATCTTTGATCCAGCTATAATAGCAACAAAGATCCGCTTCATCCCTTACACCTCTCATATGCGCATAGTGTGTATGCGCGTAGAGCTCTATGGTTGTTCATGGACAGGTGAGTGAGATATATGAATTATATATTTTTCCTTAGTATCTTTTCCGATCATGTATTTATTTATATTTGCAAAACATCTTGTTGCAAGTAGCAAAAAAATAAGTCGGATCGACATTTTAATTGCTGTGTTAATATATGTATTATATGTAATATATACGTATAAGTATCTACATATTTATATTCAAAGAAATATTTTAGAAAATTAAAAAAAATTTTTAGACATATTTTCAAAAATGACGGCATAATGTGTATAAAGAGATATTCAGGATTCAATATCTCGCGCGTCGTTATAAGCAAGGATAGAATCTGTCGAAATTAAAGTAACGTTGTTATGGTCCGCGTGCCAATCACATGCTTGTCATACCATTGTCAACACCTGCGTAGCGCTTTTCATTTCGGAATCATTCGCGCCGACCTCGCTGGAATTCTGTGCTGCCAGATCGCGGTCAATACTTGGTCTGTAAACAGTCCTTTTCGGCGCGATATGCTCTATGTTATTGAATCGCGGTCAATAAGCAATGTTTCGTTTGTTGTATGACATATACAATTATGATACGTATAGTAGACACATATTATACGAATTAGTAATAGTGATCGCAAAATTAATAAATATACCATCCTTGAACGTCTGTATAACGCGATATTCGTCCGCGCAAACTATAATCAGTAGTACAACTCGATATTCGTCGGACATTGTATACCATTCGCCTCGGACAGTCGCTGTACAATTTCATTAAGTAAAATATATTTTTTGCGGACATCTTGTGGACATCTTGGAAGTTTAAAATCATAAATAAGAGATGTTTGAAATAGATAAAGATTTAATTAAAATTTTTTATCAAATTAGAGACGCATTATGCTGTTTTTTTTTCATCAAAATTTATCGCGACTAATAAATTTTACACTATGCACGAAAAAAGCTAATTATATACATCTTTTAACGACTGTATAACGCGATATTCGTCCGCGCAAACTATAATCAGTAGTACAACTCGATATTCGTCGGACATCGTATATCGCTCGCCTCGGACAGTCGTTGTACAATTTTATGAAGTGAAATATATTTTTTGCGGACATCTTGTGGACATCTTCAAAGTTTGAAAACATAAAATGTTTGAAATAGATAAGGATTTGATTGAAACTTTTTATCAAATTAGAGAGGCGTTATGCTGTTTTTTGCATGAAAATTTATCGTGACTAATAAATTTTACTCTATGCACGAAAGAAGCTAATTAACATCTTTGATCGACTGTATAACGCGATATCTGTCCGCACGAGCTATAATCAGTAGTACAACTCGATATTCGTCGGACATTATGTACCGCTCGCCTCGGACAGGCGTTGTACAATTTTATTAAGTAAAATATGTTTTTTGCAAACATTTTGTGGACATCTTTAAGGTTTGATATCATAAATTAGAAATGTTTGAAATAAATAAGGATTAAATTAAATTTTTTATCAAATTAGAGAGGCATTATGCTGTTTTTTTTTCATCAAAATTTATCGTGACTAATAAATTTTACTCTATGCACAAAAGCAGCTAATTATGTACATCTTTGATCGACTGTATAACGCGATATCTGTCCGCACAAGCTATAATCAGTAGTACAACTCGATATTCGTCGGACATCGTCTACCGCTCGCCTCGGACAGTGGTTGTACAATTTTATTAGGTGAAATATGTTTTTTGCGGACATTTTGTGGACATCTTTAAAGTTTGAAATCATAAATTAGAAATGTTTGAAATAGATAAGAATTTGATTGAAACTTTTTATCATATTAGAGAGGCATTTTGCTGTTTTTTGTATCAAAATTTATCGTAACTAATACTTTTTACTCTATGCACAAAAGCAGCTAATTATGTACATCTTTGATCGACTGTATAACGCGATATCTGTCCGCACGAGCTATAATTAGTAGTACAACTCGATATTCGTCGGACATCGTCTACCGCTCGCCTCGGACAGTGGTTGTACAATTTTATTAAATGAAATATATTTTTTGCGGACATCTTGTGGATCTAAGTTTGAAATCATAAATAAGAGATGTTTGAAATAAATAAGGATTTAATTAAATTTTTTATCAAATTAGAGAGGCATTATGCTGTTTTTTTTTCATCAAAATTTATCGTGACTAATAAATTTTACTCTATGCACGAAAAAGCTAATTATGTACATCTTTGATCGACTGTATAACGCGATATCTGTCCGCACGAGCTATAATCAGTAGTACAACTCGATATTCGTCGGACATCGTATACCGCTCGCCTCGGACAGTGGTTGTACAATTTTATTAAGTGAAATATATTTTTTGCGGACATCTTGTGGACATCTTCAAAGTTTGAAATCATAAATAAGAATGTTTGAAATAGATAAGGATTTGATTGAAACTTTTTATCAAATTAGAGAGGCATTATGCTGTTTTTTGCAAAATTTATCGTGACTAATAAATTTTACTCTATGCACGAAAGCAGCTAATTATGTACATCTTTGATCGACTGTATAACGCGATATCTGTCCGCACGAGCTATAATCAGTAGTACAACTCGATATTCGTCGGACATTATGTACCGCTCGCCTCGGACAGTGGTTGTACAATTTTATTAAGTGAAATATATTTTTTGCGGACATCTTGTGGACATCTCCAAAATTTGAAATCATAAATAGAGATGTTTGAAATAAATAAGGATTTAATTGAATTTTTTATCAAATTAGAGAGGCATTATGCTGTTTTTTTTTCATCAAAATTTATCGTGACTAATAAATTTTACTCTATGCACAAAAGCAGCTAATTATGTACATCTTTGATCGACTGTATAACGCGATATCTGTCCGCACGAGCTATAATCAGTAGTACAACTCGATATTCGTCGGACATCGTATACCGCTCGCCTCGGACAGTGATTGTACAATTTTATTAAGTGAAATATATTTTTTGCGGACATCTTGTGGGTATCTTCGAAGTTTGAAATCATAAATTAGAAATGTTTGAAATAAATAAGGATTAATTAAAATTTTTTATCAAATTAGAAAGGCATTATGCTGTTTTTTTTTCATCAAAATTTATCGTGACTAATAAATTTTACTCTATGCACAAAAGCAGCTAATTATGTACATCTTTGATCGACTGTATAACGCGATATCTGTCCGCACGAGCTATAATTAGTAGTACAACTCGATATTCGTCGGACATCGTCTACCGCTCGCCTCGGACAGTGGTTGTATAATTTTATTAAATGAAATATATTTTTTGCGGACATCTTGTATACATCTCCAAAATTTGAAATCATAAATAAGAGATGTTTGAAATAAATAAGGATTTAATTGAATTTTTTATCAAATTAGAGAGGCATTATGCTGTTTTTTTTCATCAAAATTTATCGTGACTAATAAATTTTACTCTATGCACGAAAGCAGCTAATTATGTACATTTTTGATCGACTGTATAACGCGATATCTGTCCGCACGAGCTATAATCAGTAGTACAACTCGATATTCGTCGGACATCGTATACCGCTCGCCTCGGACAGTGGTTGTACAATTTTATTAGGTGAAATATGTTTTTTGCGGACATTTTGTGGACATCTTTAAAGTTTGAAATCATAAATTAGAAATGTTTAAAATAGATAAGAATTTGATTGAAACTTTTTATCATATTAGAGAGGCATTTTGCTGTTTTTTGTATCAAAATTTATCGTAACTAATAATTTTTACTCTATGCACAAAAGCAGCTAATTATGTACATCTTTGATCGACTGTATAACGCGATATCTGTCCACACGAGCCATAAACAGTAGTACAACTCGATATTCGTCAGACATTATATACCGCTCGCCTCGGACAGTCGTTGTACAATTTTATTAGGTAAAATATGTTTTTTGCAAACATTTTGTGGACATCTTTAAAGTTTGAAGTCATAAATTAGAAATATTTAAAATAGATAAGGATTTGATTGAAACTTTTTATCAAATTAGAGAGGCATTATGCTGTTTTTTGTATTAAAATTTATCGTGACTAATAAATTTTACTCTATGCACAAAAGAAGCTAATTATATGTACATCTTTGATCGACTGTATAACGCGATATCTGTCCGCACGAGCTATAATCAGTAGTACAACTCAATATTCGTCGGACATCGTATACCGCTTGCCTCGGACAGTGGTTGTACAATTTTATTAAGTGAAATATATTTTTTGCGGACATCTTGTATACATCTCCAAAATTTGAAATCATAAATAAGAGATGTTTGAAATAAATAAGGATTTAATTGAATTTTTTTATCAAATTAGAGAGGCGTTATGCTGTTTTTTTTTGCATCAAAATTTATTGCGACTAATAAATTTTACACTATGCACAAAAAAAGCTAATTAGGTACATCTTTGAACGACTGTATAATGCGATATCCGTCCGCACGAACTATAATCAGTAGTACAACTCGATATTCGTCGGACATCGTATATCGCTCGCCTCGGACAGTCGTTGTAAAATTTTATTAAGTAAAATATATTTTTTGCGAACATCTTGTAGACATTTTTGAAGTTTGAAATCATAAATTAGAAATGTTTGAAATAGATAAAGATTTGATTGAAACTTTTTATCAAATTAGAGAGGCATTATGCTGTTTTTTTTCATCAAAATTTATCGTGACTAATAAATTTTACTTTATGCACGAAAGAAGATAATTATGTACATCTTTGATCGACTGTATAACGCGATATCTGTCCGCACGAGGTATAATTAGTAGTACAACTCGATATTCGTCGAACATCGTATATCGCTCGCCTCGGACAGTCGTTGTAAAATTTTATTAAGTAAAATATATTTTTGCGAACATCTTGTAGACATTTTCGAAGTTTGAATTCATAAATAAGAGATGTTTGAAGTAGATAAAGATATAATTGAAATTTTTTATCATATTAAAAAGATATGCTGTTGCATTAAGAATTATCGTGACTAATAAATTTTACACTATGCACGAAGGAAGCTAATTATGTACGATTCCATCAGCAGCCACTGCCATTGTCATTGTCACGAAAACAAAGCTGGAAACAAGTCCCTGTGGAATTGTGCTTGCGTGTTATCATGCATTTTACATTTTACGTCGACTATATAGTCTACTACTTTCTTGGAATTTCTTGACGAGAGATTGCTGTCACTGCATCAACTCGACAGTAACTTAAATTTATATTTTAGTTTTGTGATTATAAAATTTTAAAAAATATATTAAAAAGACATAACATTTACTTTAAGCCGGTATTCGAGGAATACAACTTTACTCGTGACTTAAATCTTTACATTCATTCTTTCTTTTTTCAAACTCTCTAGGTTTATTAATAAAATGAATAATAGAAAATATTTATTAATATTATCATTATAATGTAATGCTGTTAAATATGACAAGGCATATATATATCGAAGTGCATTAATAATTAATTTACATTTTGCTCGTTGAGGGAGATTTTAGATTTGAATTTTGCGAATCGTCGACGTTTGCCGGCTGTGTGACGAGACGCCGATGTAACGCGTCAGTCTCTCGAATCTGCGATTAACTTAGATTTACGATCACCGTCGGCCGTGAGCCACAGCTGCGTCTACATTAATCCAACGTCGACGAACTACGCGGCATTCGCTAAACTGTGCCATCTGCATAGCCCCGATCAGCGTTATATCGTTTAAACGCGCAATTACAGCGACTGCCAATAATATTGATTTGCTAAATAAATTATGACTTACGAATGGCATTAGCAAATGTTGGGACCATTAACGAGCAAGGAACGCAAGCATCCAGATGTTAAAGGGAAAATGTATAGAGGTGAAAAGATAGAGAGAGAGAGAGAGAGAGAGAATTACGCGTTCTACGCGATTAAATTATAATGAAATATTTATAATTCTTGGCGAGATTTTATCATTATTATCATTTATGATAATAAACATACAATCTGCTGCAAATATTTCGTTATTTGTAGTCTTATCGATGTGAAACGACTGCGCAAATAGAGAATCGACTTTTTATTCGCGCGATACAATAATCAAAACGGACTTTTTCTCCTGGTAAATATTGCAAAATATTGCATTTTGCCGCGCATATTTTACACTGAAGTCTGCGAAAACAATTTACAGCCATCGGATAGAAAAATAGTCGATTTGACATAAACGGGATGGCATGATATTTCTCTTTCAAGTACGAAATTGTGTAACTTATTCGTGCTTATTGACGCCTGACAGTCTAGAAGCGCATTTGTTTCTGACGTTCGTTTCGTCGAAGTCGCTTACTTCGGCGCGATTTTTAAAAAAAGTGTCGCGCAGCGAGAGAAAGAGAGAATCGATGTCGGGAATCCGAAGAATTTCGTATATCAAAGCACGCTCGAGAATCCCGGTTATCGCGCAGCGACGCCTTAGACCTCACGACAGAATTAAAAATGTTGACTCTCGTTACTTTTTCTCGACGACACGCGCTTTAGCCGTAACTGCAATGTCCGCAATCTTATCACGTACTGTCGGGAGAAAACGACCGCGCGGCAATGCGATGATGCATAGTTCAGGAGCTAATATATTTTTTATATCCGGCTTTTTCTTGTTCTCTCTCCCGCAGAGGGTATCGTCTCGTATTCCATGCCCCAAGGAATCAAAAGGGGCACCGAGGTTGACCTCTCCGACAGGACTTACGACGGCCGCGAAGAAGGAGGTTGCCTCTCCGGGGGACTTGGTCAACTCGTCGACGGGCAAAAGGGTCCCGACAACTTCAGATTGGACGTCAGCGGCAACGGAAAGGGTAAGGGTGCTCCGGGTGCTTCGTGCTGGAATGAGATTAGCGCCGGCGCTAGATCGTGTCTAGATTAGCGTGATAGAGCCGTCTCTTCGCGAATCTACCCAGCCGTCTAGTCTTCTTATTCCATCGGTATCTCACGCTACCCTTACTCGTTAACTTTCTTTCTTCGAACTAAATAGTGATCCGAAACCCGGCAACTCTCTCTTGTTACAATTTTGTCTAACGCCCCTTCACGAGCGATTACGCTCTTGTTTCAAGACGCTTTACACCCTTATCAATGTTGAGAAAGTAGCGTAATAAGCGCACGCGAGGTGTCCGTATGTATGTATTTTGTGTTAATGCCGAAACATACTGGATACCAGGATTTTGTATGTGTATATGCGCGAAGTTTTATACGCATTCCCTTGTTCATAGTGTTGCACGTATAATTTGAAATATGCGAACGCGCGACGAGAATTCTGTTAAAATATCTCGGATAGCTTTCGCGTTAGAACGGACATATCTCCGTTTGATTATTTAATGAATTTTCAATCTACGCGTTTCATTCGCTTGATTTCGCGTATCAAAAGCATACCTATATGTTTCTTTGTTGTATATACGTTCTTTTCAATAAAACGATTACCGCCCGAACTATGTTTGCTCTCCGCTACATTTAATCTATCCCCGGAAAGCTTTTCTATTTAATAAAACAATGATTAATGAGCGCGACACATCAACCGGAACTGACGTATTGTTGGATGCCAATATCAACCTGTCCACCGACGGAATCTTATTCACGAAGCCAAATGACCGTCGAAATTTAATTGAAAGGGACACGCTCATGTACGAAAATGGTTTTTCGATCGATTGATCAGGTAGGTAGAATATTCGACGCGCGGAGAGATGCGTTCGTTTCCGAGGCGTGTATGCCAGAATGAAAATGAAATTTTCTGTCGGTCGACTTCAGATGTATATGTGTGTAGATGAGAAAGTCAGAGAGAAGGGTCAGTAGAATCCGGAAAAGCTAGGGGAGGGCCCCGAAGCCAAACGTGTTCCGCAGCGCTACTCGAATCTGTTCCAATTTACATTTATATTGAACCGCGAGCTAGGCTGCAACCAGTCACCGCTGTTTACTCGCTTTCTGGATACATTTGTGTCTTTCCATTTACGCCATGGGACACCCTCGCGTACACTCGGCTACACCGAGAGTTGTATATATATACTTCTACCTTCTTAAACTTTTAAACCGGCAAAACTGCGTACAACCTCCCTCGATTCTCCTTAAACCGGAGAACAGCGTCGTTCGGCATTTCTATACCACCCAAGACTTTTTCGCTCGGTGTCGATATATTTATACCGGCATTTCCATTCAAGGTATTTTTAACAATACTTTAGAAATGCACCGGAAAAGAATTATATACAAGCGGTAAAGTAAGACAAAAAATGATAAATGTGTGTAAAGATATTTATAATATCGTTAATATTTTTGAATCAAATTTATTGATTTATTTTATTTCATCAATTCTTTGTAAATTGATTTACAGCATCGCAAAGAAAACTTTTTAATGTTACGGAAACTTTTATTTTATCAAATAACAATACAGTGCAGCTTCCTTCTAACAAACTTCGCTTAATAAAATATCGATAAACGTTCGCAGCGGTTGACAGTTTGACATGGTCATCCTGATTCTGGTTTATGAGCATTCCACGCTTATAGCTCCAAAATGCGTTAAAGGAGAAAATCATTAACCGACCGAGATGTAGGGGTATATCCACCCACGGTGGTTATCTTACGATCCTAGTGAAGGTTCAGAATTGATGGTAGATAGCGACCGAAGGCGGCGACGACAGGAAACTGGAAACTATTTACTCGGGGGACGATATTAAGGGAGGAAAGGGGTTATATGAAAGCGGATAGGTCAGGACGATATAACGCTATTGCGCGGACCCGGTATATTGTTGAAAACGGAAGGGACGATCCCCGCAGTGGTAGTTGTCGCACAGGAAGTCGCGTGTGCAAGTACACAATGCAAACTGCGTGATTGAAATTCTCGTAAGTTTTAATATACTCTGAGATTCTTACGTCGCTACGCGCAGATACATCATACGATAAATCTGTGATTTTCTCCAGACGTTGTCGAAATACAAGAGACGAATATAGATTCGAGTTTACGAGACTTTCTTTCGTTTCTTTTTTCATCGAAAAGTATATATAGAGATAAAAATATGAAGATTCTATACTGTAAAAAACACATCTCTCTAAGGTACTGAAACGTAGGCTTTGCGTATTATTAATATTTTAACGAAACATAAAAAGATATCGAAGAAAAAGAGGAGATAGGATTTAGTTATAAGAATGTATCAAAATATTTTTGAATTCGTTAAAGATCGCAGATTCAAGGAGCCCAGAGTGTTAATCAAACTCGAAAATTAATAAATAATTTAATATTTTTTAAAAAGCCAAATATTACAAACATCCAAGGATTGAAAAATCCAATTATCGTACCGTAGTACATTCTTTCTTTTCGCAATAACGTGAGCTATTCGGATACTTTATTATCTATAATTTTTTTTTCATTCTGTTATTATTTATTAATTCTCTGAAAAGTACGGCACGCGATAAATGATGAACAAATGGTGTTTGTGCGTTGAAAATGAAGAGACACGGCGAGAGAGGCGGCACATTGCTGTTAGAGATCTTGAAGCCAATGTTGAAAGTAACAGGAGAGCGTTTCTGAGAAACGCATAACACGCCGCGCTGGCTAAGCTTTAAGGTTATTGCAGTCCATTTTCAATCCGCATATTCCCGCGGGACACGTGTATTTCCACATGTACTCATATAGTGGGATCTAATGGCGAGACTCGCGCAATAAGCTGCCGCTACTGCTCTATATAGCTCGAAACTCTTCCGTATCGCGTATCGCGTTGCTTCTCGCGTTGCTGTATATATATATATATATATATATACAATATATATATGTACCGAGTGGAACATTTCCGGGAGAAATGAAGCGAGAGAGGAACAGAAAGCAGGAAAACAAACTCGAAACGTAATTAACGTTTTCGGAGGAAGCATACGAGTCTCATGCGAAAGCTCAACTTGCGTGAATCTGAAACGGGTAATTTAAATTCTATTACGTGCGAACACTTTCGTGCCACTTCTCGCGCAGTTACACAACAGAGAATATTTTTGAATTTTTTAAAGAAACCGCGATGTGATGGTCACGTGCTCGCGAATTATTTAATAAGAGTTATCAAGTTACTCTCTTATTAAGTTACCCTCGTCCTAAAACGGCGATATAGCGCACGAAATACTCTCCGGTTTCTCGAGGTCTTTAAATTATACAAAACTTCTTTTAATATTATTTCGTTGAAAATCAGATTTTATTAGATTTTAATAAAAAAATAAGATCTTTCACTTCCGTTCTCTTATATATAAAATCTTTTATAATCTCTAATTGAAATTTAAATTGACATTGCCAGGTCATAGTTTCTATAAATTCTTATATCGTATCTTTTATACTGCACGTCAAACGATTATCCGTACATTTCCGCCGCAAAGTGTTAAACACGTGTTTTGTTTCATGCGCTCATTTTCCGTTTACGCAATATTCAAATAAATTCTATGTCACGCACGAGTTGCTTACTATTCGCGTTACAGATTTCATTGTTTTGTTCATAGGAATGCGTATGCACATTGCGCACTCATAAATGATCTGCCACATCATACAACCGACAGCGTAAACCCTCTTTTTAATTCAAACACGCGGATCGGAATCTTTTTATATGACACATATACTAGGTCGCAATTTTTATATAGAACATGTTTCGCGTGTGTAAGAGATAAAGTTGAAATAATATACATGTCAACCTTCAATTATTGTTAAAAAAATAACAAAAATCTGACGTGCAGAAATGGCTTTGTATATTTCAACTATAGGTGGATTCAACTGTAGGTAGATAGGTCGATTGGAGATTTTTGAAGGCGTACTTTTTTTGTATCAATTTGGAGTTAATTTTTTACTGTGAATTTATTCTCGATAAATTTTTCGTTAAACAAAAATGGACCGCAAATTGATCAAATACATCGCGTGGGTTTCCCAGAATTTTTCTATCATTAATTCAAGAATGTTCAAAAATCCGGAAATTTTACTAGCATTTTTCGCGCAGCTCTAGCCGACGGCGACACTCCATATCTTTTCAGCAGGATTCTCTAAAACTGAACGATATTGTAACGGATAATCCGTTTGTTCTAGGATATGAATGGGTCGGCTGGCGAAACGACACGCCCAATATGCTCGGACGTCCGGTGGAAATAACTTTCGAGTTCGACTACTCGAGGAACTTCACTGCCATACATCTACACATGAACAATTACTTCACCAAGGACGTGCAGGTATCGCCTTTCGCGCCGTTACCGGTATTATTTCGAAAGTTACGAGCTCCGGGAAACTACCGTAAATTTCACGATCACACATTTGGCGACGCCTCCGCGCTTTTAAGCGGTTTTAAAAACATTTCCCCGCGATTTACAGCACGGTGATTCTTGCAGCTCCGACTACCGTCGGGGCTTAGTACTTTCAGTATGGCAAAGTTTCAACGCCGAAGCTTCCGCCGAATTATTCCCATCCGCGCGGTTTATCTCTTTAAAACGTGGTACTCGAACATATTATGTGTGTTCCCGCTGCATGCATGTATAATAGCACTTCATTTGATATCAAACACCTTGTTCTAATTCAATATATTATAACTGTCTCGCAATATTCTCGAACGAAGAAGCGATCTTCTATCACGCGCGATTATTTCCACCTCGTTCGAACGTCATCCAAAAATCGTTACAGTTTCACAGGATGTTTGATGTGCACGATTTTTTTCCCGCAGGTTTTTTCGTACGCGAAGGTTTACCTCGGCACAGGCGGTAACCAGTTCACCGGCGAACCGGTCCATTTTTCTTACATACCCGATCAGGTGCTCGAGCAAGCGCGGGAAGTCACCATAAAGCTGCACTCGCGCGGCGGCCGTTTCCTAAAACTGCAGCTCTACTTCGCGGCTCGGTGGATCATGCTCAGCGAAGTAATCTTCGAATCAGGTAAGAGAAGGATCAATCTATTACGCCGCATCTCGCGCGAATCGAGATTTATTTCCTAATTTATCTCCCGGTGTTGCACCTCGGTGAAGAGCGAATTACTCGCGTCACGTCGCTCGTCGAGATACTCGAGACTGATGGCGAAGTCAAGGGCCTTCGCGTCTGGGATTTCACTTTTCTCTTCGTCGGTCGTCCTTTTGCATTTCGTAGACGCGCGATTTTAGTTAGACGGAAAAAAAATCAAACGGAGAAAAAGATACAAAATAATCGAGAAATTGAAATCTAGAAATAGAACAGTTTCGAAGTACATATATCTTTTATCTCGAGCGCGCGCGCGTACACACATACATACACAGATATATATATATATATGTACACATTCACACAATTCGGCATCCCGATTTCCAATTTTAAGCGACATACTTTCAACGAAGATATGAGCACAGTGATACTATAAAATAGTGGAAATCGTCTCCAAAGCTTGGAGAGAAAACTTATTTCGACGAAAATATAGTTTTAAGAAGCGCGGATACATATAGGATAAGGATAAAATTATTTTATAAATTTCAACTTTTATTGAATCTCTAGAATGTGAAAAGTATTGTATAAGAAGTTTAACGTACTTGGATAAAAAGAAAAAACCTGATAAATAAAATAAAATTAATACATTTTGTTGTTCGATATACTGTTTTGTTGCTTAAAATTGGAGAAGAAAAATCTTACTCTCTGTCATTTTACTTGCACTACTTTTTACAATTTCTAATGAAATAACGAACATTTATATGAATAAAATATCTCTTGCATTCACATGCACAATTTAGCATTAAACGTAATCAGAAAATATAATATCATATCTAACTCTTAAAAAAGATGTAGGTATTACCAAAAAGTCAATTATTAGAATATAAAAGTTTATTATTGCTTTTTTCCCATGATTTTTCATGATTGAATCTCTCTGTTCGTTATTTCATATTGATGAAAAATCTATATCTGAATAAAGATTATATTACAGTCGTCAGATCCACTTTCTTTTACACTTCCAACTTTTACAATAACAGACTTTTAATGTAAATTAAAACAAGCGCGTATTTTTTTCACCGTACCTCAATGTAGCTTAACAATTGCAGCACTGTGAAATCGATATTCTCTCGTAATCTCTCGAATTTGGTCAAGATAATTGAGTCCGCGCACCACAATGGCAGCAGCAAAACGTAACTGTTACGGCAGCTTAGGCGAATGACTAGTTTATCCGGCATCGATGTAACCGCATATCGATCACCAATATTTCTTTTAATCCATCTCAAACGATCCGAGACGGAACTCAGCTGCCTGGTAATGCAAGCTTTCGAAAGTTCCGTGTCGCTTCGTTGCACCGGTCCAGCCATCGCGGGAGTTGGGTACGTCGTTAATCATTCGACGTACACTTTGTGCGTTATTCTCCCGTCCTCGACTGCGGGCGATAAGTTGGCTCGGACCAGAGGCAACCAATGTTCCTCGTCACTTGTATATACCGCTATAACTCGTATTCACGTCGTACAAACGCTTGGTTGGACCGCGCGTCATCGATAGGAAAAAAGATCATTCTACTTCATCCCTCTCTCACCATTCTCTCTCTCCGGCATCGAGTTTTCCAGCTGGCGAGCCGACCCGGACGCGACGTTTTTTTCCCGGCAAAAGCCTCCGAGAGAGGCAATTTCGCCCCACCTCGTTTAATTTACCTTTTTATGAATCGCGCGTACGAAAGCCCGTGTCTAACTGCTCGAAAATTGAAATATTTCCTGGTGTCCATTAGTCGATAAACTGCCGCGGCACTAATTTTCAGGTTGCCTAACGGGGAAATTCCGGCTGCGTGTGACACGAATTAAATTTTGTTGGTACGATATTTGTTGTTTGTTTTCGAACGATCGATATAACAGAGTAGAAAACTATTCCCGAATACAAATGAAATTCTCTCGGTGCCCCACAAAGGCCACATTTGTACAATCCGGATGAAGTCGTCAAAGGATACGACAGACATCGCGCGAAATTTAATTCCCTTTCGAGTGTTGTGCGTTTCATCTGATTTCTGATATCTCAGCGATATATCGAATTCACTTTTGTTTCGTAAACTCTATCTGCGATTGATTTTATAACGTATTTAGTTTGCAAATGAGTTAAACTGTAATCGGCTTGATAATTGCCAACAGTGATGCTTCTCCTGCCGTGATATATATATACATATATTATATATACGTATATAGACGAGAAACTTTTTGCCTCAAGTATTTAATACGCTTGACAAGCGTGGATTTCATTAGCTTTAATCCTGAATGCACAGTTATCTCCGAATGGAACAATACCGAGGACGAGGAAGCAAAGAACAAGAGTGCCATTGTACTGGCAACCGGCAGCCCCTATCAGAATAACGAGGGTCCACTACAGAGGGACGAAGTGAAGGCTACTTTTAATAAGGAGGAGAGCAAAGATAACACTTGTAAGTCTACTGTTCGATCTTTCTATTGTTATTCCGGTAAGTTACGTTCATAATTTTCCGCGTAATTGACGTGCTTTTCTCCCAACTTTTTTTCTCTCGTCATTTTTCATAGCAATGAGCTCGATATATTATGAGAGAGAATTGCGTGTCGGCAAAAAGTAACTATTATATGATGACCAGACATGACCACGATTTATTAACAATTAATTTAAGTATCTTTTTATATAGTGCATGCTTATCGCATGGTAGTTTTTTTTTATTAATGTATATAAAATGGTAATAATATTGTTTACAGAAATAGTTGAGAGATTTAATTAAAAATTCGAGATTAAGGCGATAAAAATGAGAAATGCAAATAAATTTTGATTTAAAATCCTTTTTTTATTCCAAATCTATAGTCGTTTTAATCAAACAATTCTAATCGGGACGTTAAATAATTTTTGAATGCATTACACGCGACGCAGACAATTTGCATTTTCTCTTAGATTCGTGTCGAGGCATCAAAATTATGCGAAGTCAAAGAGGCAATAGCTTGCATCTCTGGAGAAATCTTCTTTCTGATACGCGACGTCGTTACATCAGAATTAATGGAAAAATGACGACGGTGGGACTAGAAAACTCCGTAAAATCGAAAGAACTGTGCAAAAAAGTACATCGAGTAGTTCCATGGACGTTCTCGATTACCTGAAAAAGAAGCGTCACGGAAGAAAAAGAGCGATCGCTCTTGTCCCTTGGCCTCGTCGAGTTTGTTAACCAATAGAATGATACTTTTTTTATTTGCCTCACAACAGCAAATAAAAGCCGCGCAATTAACTTGATTAATTCCTTAACTCTATCTCTCTTTCTCCTCGTTTGATTGAAACGCAGTTGAGACGTAGTATTGAGATTTCGTTAAAAGGAGCAAGATCCATGAATGAAACTTTTAATGCTAATTGATTAAACTCAATATTCTCCGAGGCAAGATCGATGATGAACTAATTTGTATTTTTTCTGCTAACGTTTCGCGAGTTGTATAGGGCAAAATTTTTCAATTATACAGTGACGATGCCGGAATTGTTGAAATTTCTTTCAAACTGTTACCAGTTTAAAGCTCACGTGCCCGTTCAATATACGTCTGCATTCGTATACGTTACAACTACTCGAACTACTTGTTTGCGTGTTCGCCGAAGGAAAAGCGCAAGAAAGCGGGTCGAGGCATTTATGTTTTCTCGCTTGAAAAGCGCGACGTACCTAACGCTCTTGTTACATATTATATCGCGTAGGAAACGAATGTACGCCAACGCAGGCAATAATCTTGGAGTCGGTGGAGCAAGCGTTGAACCTGGAAAATTAGAAAGAAGAACGTTACGCTTTTTTTCCTCGTCAAGCGGTCTTCTACAACATTATGCTAAAACTAGCATGCAAAAGAAACAAAACGGAAACGTTAAAAAATCCGAAAGACGCGAAACGGGATAACATTTTTCGATCATAAATAGACGTATATATTCCAGCGAATAGCTAACTGATATTTTTATTCGGAAAGATGAAAAATGTGTTTTCTAGTATTTCTGTGCTATATTGATTTAGAAAGTTGATCTCTCTTTGATTTTTCTACCTATATAAATTATTTTCTTTTATAAAGAAATAAAAGATAAATATTTCTTTTCGCATTATTAATAATTAATTTGTCTCGATGAATGATTTTAATATTATTTGTTACATAAAAATAAGATGTACTACTTAATATTTTAAAAGTGCATAAATTAGTTTATTATTAAAATACATACTAAACAATTACAAAATTCTAAAATGTATTGTTACGAGAAATCTTAATGATTTATTAGATTGCTGGTCTCTTTATCGATTTATAAAATACTCAAACAATGAGCAGGTTGCTGCGGTGGACTACGAGAGCCATCAGCGTATATTGTTTTTGTTCAACCGGGCACTGATCAAACGTGATCTAGTTACGAGCTTCGTGATGAACGCAATCATCATTATCGTTCCATCGTGCATTATGCAAGGTTACCTCGGCGGTATTATCCACGGTGATAGGTCATGTTGCTTGATGCATCAAGCATCACGGCCGAGTGAATTCGCTATCGCGTACAGCCGCGGATCAGCTGTCCGTTGCGACATCGAAATATTATTAATGGAAAATTCTTTTGTTCTCTGCATAGCTTTTTCTATCTATTCCTGTCTCTTTTCACTATCTCTGTTACTGTTATCAATATTCCACTGTTTAATTCCAAACGCGATCGATAGTCACAATTATTTCAAAATTTATCAACTGTGTAATAAAAAAAAACGAGACTAATTATTATCAATTAATGAAGGACATTTGATCTCACGTGACTACATGCTTGAATTAATAGAAAATTTATTTATCGAATTAGTATATACTACTTATTAATTTTTATAAAACAGATAGGATGCATGTATGTATATGTGTGAAATTGACATATCACTTTGTTGAAACAAAATTGTGTTTTATACACACAGCGATAAGAGAGAAAAAAGAGCCAGCTCACATGATCAATAAATCACAAATAATTGTTTAAGATAAAACGGGAAGATTTTATTAAATTTTAATTATTTGATATATATATATATATATATATATATATATATATATATAATAATTAATCATGACATCTCTCGACTCTGCTTACTGCTAAGGATTTGAAGTAAATTTTTAACAAGATTGATATATATATATCAATCTTGTTAAAAATTTACTTCAAATCCTTAGCAGTAAGCAGAGTTGAGAGATGTCATGATTAATTAATGTTAAGTGATTATCTTTAGAGCTTGTACATAAACCAGTAATAAGCCAGTGACAATGTGGAAGATCTGAGCTTGTAAATGTTAATCGTTAAGCTAATCGATTTCCTCCGTATCCCTGAATATGACAAATGTATCTGTTTATTATATATACATATCTAGTTGCATATGTACAGATTGTGTGTATGTATATACTCTTCGTACACATATATCCATTTCTCAGTTTCAGATAAGAGCAAGGAACCGGAATCGAAGCAGTTTGTCGGATTAGTGATCGGCATCCTGACGACCGTAATCGTGATGTTGCTCGCAGCTATCATGTTTATCTTTTATCGGAACCGTAGACTTAAGGCTGCTCTTGCACCATCAACATTTTACGATCAGCAGGGCGATCTCAAGGTAATTATAAAATTAGAACTACTGTATAATCTGATATATTGACGTGTCTATATATTTATATCTTAATTTATTATTTATTATTAAGACATCAAACTATCTATATACGGACATGTCCTGATTTATTCTAAGAAAATTATTTTTGTTACATTATCGTGTTAAATATATTATTATCTAGATTATAAAAAGAATTCGTAAACTAGAGAGGGGAGTTCTTTTATAATAAGAGAAGTGACGTCATAACATTGCATTTATCTTTTTAATTACTTTAGCACATTAAATGAGATTTTCTCGGTAGATTCTGTAATAAATATAATTATATATATAATGTATATAACAAATAAATAATAAGTAATTCAGTATATATAATAAATATTTTTTTTAATTCTTGAATCACAAAACCGTTTTTTGTTACTTAAGAGTATAATTCCAGAAAGCGTAGATTATAAAATGTTATAACACTATTCAATATAGAAAATAATCTTGTTTTCCAAATCATCACGCGTCATTAAGCAAGAGAACGAAAATTGGAAGTAGTCAGAGAATCAAATACACTCAAATGGCACAGGAATGTTACGGCGAATTTTCTCAATGCCTTTCAATTTGGTAAATGACAATCAATTCTATTCTTCAGTTGCGATTTTTCTTTGCGCGATTCCCGACCTGGTTTAACACGCCGGAGATTCTCGCCTCTGGCTCTAATAAACCGAACAGGCACCTCTATTTACTTTACGCTTCCAGGTCACTTTACGACGCTTTTGAGCAATCGCGCAAAACAGCTTATACCTACTTACCTATATTACGTGCATCGGTTTAGATACGAGCGTACGTAACTAGAGGGGAAAATGCGACGATCAAATATTTTCTTTAAGGCGGAGGCGCAAACGAGATCGCGCTAGGACGATTAAAGAGACGCTCCGCGCGAGAGATTGTATGCTCTTATCCGCGATTGTTTATTTCTTTTTTTTTTTTTTTTTTTTTTACTTTTGTCCGGTGCGTTTAACAATCGTGGAATTTACGTACTGGATTATATAAAAAAATTAATTCTTTCAGATGATAAAAACAATAATTACGTTCTTGTGAAAAACTAATACAGCGATGAACGACGGAGCGGCTTTATCGTAGCGATAAATAACCATAGTACATGATAGACATTAATTCTTTCCCACTGCAATACAATGCATGGAATGAATAAAAATAAGAAATATTTCTTGCGATGCACGAACGACGATATTTTTCTCCGACGTCGCATTCCACCGTAATGTTCTTCCGCTGAAAACGGTTTTCCGGCGAAAGAGACGTTTCAGTCTCGCACCTCGTTTTAACGCGGAATGTCTAACTTTGTCGTAAATTCCACTCCGACTCTCGTGTCCTACAGAACAACAAGAATTATTAACGTCGCGTTTACCGCCCTCGTCGGTGGACAGTTTGTACGACTTTCGCAATGTACGGTCTATAACATTAGAACCTATCTCTTTTCGCATTCTCTCGAAACGCATCTATAATAACAATAATGCATTTCCCGAATACAGATTTTTTATTATTAAAAAAAAAGTAAATTTAATTAATTAATTAATTGATAACCGACTTTTGTACGCTCAAGATAGCATCGCTCGCAAGGAAAAAATGTGAAAAGGAAAAAAAACGACGAACAAAGCGAACGTATATACACGCGTACCTTTCATTACTTGATTAGCCCACTGTTATCTAAGTACGAAATCAGACCAACGATTTGTGATGGCTAGTGCAAGATAACAGGGTAAAAAGCCAAGATTCTGCACGAAGTAATGTCTATAGATAAAAGTGCTGTCCGTAGAGGAGCCGAGAAAGCAAGGATGAGGAATAAAACGTTAGAGAACAGAATTGAGCGTGTTACGCAAAAAGTTAATACTTGGGCTGAGTCGAGCGAGAAAAGTGAGGCAGACGGAGAAAAGAAGAAGAGTCCTGAGAACTTGGCGTATGTTTACCAAGCCACTGTTGTTCTAACCGGATTAATAACAAAGTGAAGTTAGTTTGCAGAAATGGACAGCTCCGGTGCTTTCTCATCCTTTTTCGCGGGATATAGCGCAAGACAGTAATTAACGACTTGCTGAACGATGAGAAATAATGAGTGCCAGACAGTTGAGCTTGCAAACCCTCGAAGCTTTCCTAACTTAACTGTTTGCACTTGGCGAAGACGACTGGAGAAACGTACGGAGCGACAGTCGACGATTAATAACGACGCTAACAACCTATCGAAATAAATTGAAGACTCGCAGTGGCGACATTAGCTATCAGGACTAATTAGTCATACTCGGTCACATTTCATTCGATTCATTATTAATAATGATAAATGAAGTGGAAGAAAATTCTTGGAAATCGAGGAAGTTGTCGAACAAATTGTCTTTATACCAGAGCTTGCACATGCATACGCAAAATAATTTATTCCGATCGCATGTGTGAAACACACGCATATAAAAATATTCGCATATACGTTTAGCGAACGATGCATGCTATAAAATTAAATAAGCACGTGCAACAATCTCCGGCTAGCGATAAATATGAAGAAGCGAAGAGCTGAGCACGCTTATAATATTTTTCATCCGCCTGGCGAAGCTTGAACAGACGCGCACGAAATCACCTTCCCGCTTTACCATACATCACTCCAAGGTATTCTTCGACAACCCAATATCGTCCATGGCTAAGTTTTTACCAACCACCAAGGAAGTGCACGGATAGTCGAGCTGACTCCACTTAATTAAAAGAGCTGCCGTATTGCGACGTCGTCGTCGAGAAAAAGACGTGCGTTATCTTCGTCGTTCACTCGCCGCTAAGCGGCATCATATATATACTCCGAACGCCTTCTTCTCGCTCATCCTCGGTCTCGAGCTCTCTTCTTCTTCTCCCTGTCTCCTCCCCGTGTTTCACGTTCCCAGCATTAGCCACCTGCTACTTGTCCCGTCTTGAAGCTGCGCGAGCCCGATTTTCCCCTTCTCGACAAAATGACCCTATTGCCCCTTGTGTAACCTGCGACCCACGTCGACTCGCCAGAATGGCAGGCTATGTCTGCCAAGTAGAAACCGCTGTCAATTTATCGAGCCACGTGGGCCACAAGAAGAACAACGTTTTCGCTTGTCCTCACTTTCCTCGCACACACCTGACTCAATTCGACAAAACGACTGAGCATCCATGGCTTCTTAATCACATTGGAAACGTAGACATTCTTTTCTTTTTCGAAGGCCGTTCGTTGACGGACCCTCCTAATAATAAGTTAATTAAATAGTCAGCAATTTACGAGAGCGTCTAATTAATCAGATATTACATTGTCGTTCGTGACAGTATTTAATTAATTAATCTCTCCATGACTGTAGCTCATTAATCATTGTTGCCGATCACGAGTAATTTTGTAAACAAAAATGTTATTCCTTATGCAATGTATTTTTTATTTTTCGACTCGTCAAATTTCGATGCATTCGAATATCCATCCGGTCTTCAAAGCTGATCTCGTTTCTCTCCTTTTTCTTTATCCAAAGCCGAATCCTATCGTAGCCGGGAAAAACGGACGCAAGATACCGACGATATATCGAACATCATGGACCGTGAAAACTAAACTTTGTTTCGCGAATGACATTATATCGATCTGTCTGATCCCATTTAGAACGAGTATGATGGAAGAACCTCTCTTTTTTGACTCGGCAGCTCCATCGGTCTGCTTTAAAACGTTGAAGGGAAACTCCGTGGGATAGTATATCGCTTAAAGCTGCGCGAAGTGTTGTGCTTTTTTTCCCTCTTATCCGAGGATTTACGATGCAGCAAATTCTTGTTCCAGATTTCATTGCGTGAGATTATTCAATTTACGTAAGCGTCCATCCGCGCGTTACAGGTCAAGCTATTCTTCAGCGATTAGCGAATTAAATATAAATTTTATGACGAATAAAAGTATGATAATATAATTTCGACATTTTATTTAAAATGTACATATTACGTTTTAAATAAAATATTGTCGAAATTATATCTTTGTTACATATATATTATCTCTTTATGTCTCTCATGGAAAAATAAATATATCTTTATTAAACACTAATTAAAAATAAAATAACAAATGCATCTAATCAATTTATGAAAATAATATCGTAAGAATAAAATATCGAATTATCTACGTATCAATGCGTCACGATAAATAATCCCGTTAACGGCATTGCCTTAAGAGTACATATATGAATCGTATATGCATTACGATACAATCGTAGCGGATAAACAGGTGTACGTGCGTAATTTTGTCCGATAATTTATTATTATCGAATATATGATGCATCGTGATTGTGACGCGGCTCTGTGAACGCGCATTCATGCGTAATTGCATTCGCGTGGAAAGAGCGAATGACGAATGAGATTGGAGGAGAGAGGATCCCGTGCAAAAGTGAGTGGTAATGCGATTATATCGACTTTAGCCCAGGAGGGAGGAAGGTCGAATGACGATACCAGAAACAGTCGAGCGAAAACAGATTATTTTAATTTAAAGCAACAAACTCTCTGATTTTCGTTCCCCGGAATCCTAACCGCAAGTTCAATATACGTGTATGCATATATGATGTGATTCGACGGTATAAGAATTAATTATTATTTGTCGGAGAAGTGGGAAAATTTTTGAGACTGCTATACATTTATTTTAAAAATTTAAAACGCATCACTGCTAAAGTTAAAATGAAAAAAAAGTCTCGATGTATTATATTAATTATATAATTATGTTCCCTCTCCGAGAAACACAACGGCGATAACTGGATACGCCAAAATTAGAAAGAAGACGAGGCTGCGTTAATTAAAAGCAGATCGGCGCTGTGAAAAATTAATAAAAAAATATGAAACAAGTGAAACGCGCGAGAGACACTTTGGGATAGAGTTGGAAAACGTGCGAACAGCTGGACGGGTCGCGCAACCTTTTCAGAAGAGAGGCAAAGATGTACTCATGGTAATGAAAATGGCAAAAAGCACTCCGGCGCTAATTAATGGAGGATCGTTTTGTGCTCGGAATCTTCTCGCTGGCACTTTAGGGATTTCGTCGGAGTAACCTGTTTCACGATTTCGATTCTCGTTTCCGTCTTCGCGTGCCCGGCTTCGTTCCTCTCCGTATCGCACTGTTTATATTTCTGGCGGGCTGCATTAACGAGTTTAACATTTTTCTCGAATTAGTACGACATACACAGATGCACGTAGAAAAAGTAATACACAAATATCGAGCGCGGCGCTCATCGCACGCGTTACATATACAATATAAATATAAACACACATAAAATGTATCGCGAAATATCAACATTTCCAACATTTTCTCGTTTTATACGCGCGTTTCTCTTTTTCCGCGTAATAAAATCGCGGTGGTTTAATCGAGTAACAATATTGCACAAATCGTACGTGCGCGATGACGAAGAGAGCAAGATACCTCGCTCTTGTCGAAATTAGATTTCACGTTCTATGTATTTCCGCAAATTGACGGGAATCGGTACGCGTAAATTACCAATAATCCACTCAATTTATTAAACGCACCTTTAATTCAGCCGCCTCGTTAAAAGATTACTCGGCGCTATCGTTTGCCGATCTCGTAATCGCGGTTGAATTCGATATGCGATTAGTATGCGGGCAAACACGCAATATCTCTGAACAAATACGCCGCTTCGATAAATCTCGCGGAAACGTGTGCGCGTGTTTTAGCTCTACATATATATTTTCTCTCGCTCTCTCTCTATCTATATCTATATCCATAGCATCGCATCGGTAATTTATTTCGCCAGGCGATATCCTGTTCGGAATACCAAACTTAAGAAAAAAAAGATATCAAAGCGCGATCTCTCTTTCGGCGTCAGACAATACCGAACGACTGATACGCTGATAAAGCATTCTACGACCGATGGAACGTGTTCGGGTTCGCGAAGAGGGTCACAGACACATGGATTTGCGCGCGAGGTCTCTTTACACGGTCGATTGATATACCATACATGAGGAGAAAAGATGCCGGATTATTTCGCGTCTGGCGATTTCCCGTCGACACGATCAAAGAAATATTTGTTCCCCGTAAAATCATTATTATTAATATATATATCAAGACAAAAATCTTTCTCCCCGAGCTTAATCGCCGGACACACACAAATGACGATCTTAAAAAGGCATTATTAAGCGACTGCGAATGAAAAATTTTCATCAAACCCGCGCACGTTAAATATGCAGCTCGTACTTGTAAAAATATTACAGCCATGAACTCGGCAAACCTTATTATCTTAAGGTTGTTTAAAGTTTAAACTGGATAATATAAAAAGGCAATGAATAAGTCCACCCGATAGCGAGGTGTTTATTTTTAAAACTTTATTTTCTATCGTTAAAAATATAATCGAGTTATTTCAGGTTGTTCCACATATCATCTCGTCGACTTGTTATAATGCTTCCACAACTTTATATATTAATAAATTCTTAATAGTCACCCATCTCTCACACACATCTCTCTTCTCTCTTCGCTCTCGGATATGTATGACGTACGTTCTGACAGTCAAGATTTCACGCTGCGCCGACGATATGAAAATAAACTTTTAATTATTTCCACAATAAATGTCAAGAGCCAACATCTCTCAATCGTTGCAATTATACCGCTAATTTGTTAATAATAATCAAGCATCGATCCAAATAGATCATCCCATTTAATACTTAATAACGGCGAGTCGGAATTTTCATTTGATGCTCATTTGCATCATGGATATCGCATCTCATTTGCAAGTAGTTGCATCGCGAACTATTTGCGCGATGATAAGCAAAGCCGTTTCGCGCAAATTGGATACCACATCTTTCGAGTAACAATAATACTTCCACAAACCGAGACCATTTCGGCATCCGATCACCGAGAACGAGATGTCGACATCGCTTTAAATGCCGGAGCATAAGGACGCGGGAAGTCGCGAATAGGACTTTAGATAGCCCTAATGGAGAAAAAGAAATGTTAGACGAGTAAGGCCAATGGGGCGAAGAGCGGACCTCGTACTAGAAACGCGAGCGATCGGGAAAGATAGAAGCAATGGGGATGCGACAGTATGTGTGTGTCTACGTACGTGTATGTACTTAGGCGAGACAGCGCAAAAGAGGGCGAGAGAGTAGTGAGATTCGCGTAGAATCCCGATGGCTAAGTGGTTATCTTATCTTAACGGCCGCGCGGCGCAGCATCTCACCAGCCTGGCACCCTCTAACGTTCCCTAAACGGAAATTAACACCCAACCCTACGCGAGTCAGCCTCGACAACCACGCCGGCGGCATCGCAAAAATCAATGGATATTATATCGCCACTCACGCTCGCAAGCATATACGCGATTCTCATCGCGTTCCCTCTCGCGAGCCTCTTATCGTCCGCGTGAAAAAAAAAGTGGAGAAGTCGAGCGAGCTCCCCCTTGATGTGTCTGCGACACCCTGGATTGTTTGTTATAATAAAACTGTTAATTTCCTGAGGTCGCATGTCGGTGCCTCGATCGTCCGGCAGTCCGGAGGCCCTCGTATACGAACCGAGATAAAGGCGTTTGGGAGGAAGTGACGCGAGATAAGGGCTTTACGGGTGAACACCGGCGCGATCTTACGTTGCATTTTAGACGAAAACGTGAAGAGCAGAGTGTCAAAAATATCTTGGCATTAATATACCCCAATGTTTGTCGTGACTTATATATATGCGATATTTAGACATTCAAATTCGATGTGACAAGTTTTTCCGTCAAATTTTGATCCATTTTTAATTGTCATCTCGCGAATTTTCGGAAGAGTAAACTTTTTTGACGTGAGAGTAGTATGATAGATTAGACAGAAAATTATCGGATTCTTATTTGAAAACTCGTCTACTTCATATTATATTAACGTAGTTGCAATAAAAATTTCTTGAAAGAAAAAAGCAAGTTTTTAGTGTTAGATAGTAAATAATATTTGTATAATATTCAGACATTTAAATTTGATGTGACAAGTTTTGATTCATTTTTAATTTAATATCTCTCAAATTTCCGAAAGAATCAAATTTTTTAACGTAAGAGTAATCTGATAGATTAGACAGAAATTATCGGATTCTTATTTGGGAACTCGTCTGTTTCATATTATATTAACGTAGTTGGAATAAAAATTTCTTGAAATGTAAAATTAAATTTTTAACGTTAGAGAGTAAATCATATATTTGTATAGTATTCAAATTTGTATTTAAAGTTTATAGAACCTCGCTAGAGAGTCATTTCTTCTGCGACGATAAAAATATAAGTTCGTATCCTTCGTATTTATTTGCCATACGAGATCGCGTGTGCCGCGAGTGCCGTAAAATAAAATTCCACGATCGGCAATACGTAACAAATCAGTAGGCCAGCACGTACATATATTCCCTCTGCGCTTCGGCAATACCGAATACAACAATAATCAGACGCGCGCAACCTCTTGGGGAAAATCCTCCCTCCGTTTTGCCGGTTATGGATATTCTGAGGAGAGAAAGCAAGAGCGCGCGGAAGCGAGCGAGGCGAGAAAGAGGATGGAAAATGAGAGAGGGGTATTAAACCGGTAACAATATATCGCTTTTACCACGCGATATACCCGGCGTGTGCATAAATGTCAGGTGCATTAACGATAACGCTCGATATTCGCTCGCAGGTCTCCGTTGCGGAGGAGGGTGAGGACAAGGGACCAATTTGTCCTCCGCTTCCAGCGCAATATCAACCAGCCGCCTACAGCACCACGACGCCGCAATTGCACAAAACCGTCACGGATTACACCGGTTGGTACCAACATTAAAAGACGTATATACGTTTTAAGTATTTCTTCGTTTCGCGTTTATTCGCTCGGGTTTTGCGATCGTTAAGGTACACGTGTCGCACGGATACTCGCGTTTTTATCCCGGAGAGAGTCTCGCGCAGATTCAATTATATAGCTGGAGATGCTTAAGAGAAAATCGATGAATCCGTCATCGAACGTTCAATTTCTTTACTAACGCAGACGCTTCTATTTTTATTACTTTTTTATTTTTAATTCTTACATTCGGGCGCATTTTCTCGATGATTGGAGAGATCCGTCGTGTGTCGGTAATTGAAATGAAAGCCCGATCAGAGTTGATTCGATAGTACTTTGAGCAGCGATAATATCAAACGATTTACATTCTCGATTACGTTCAAGTTCGAAGACGTTCTCACTTCCGTATCCGTATCTCGACTTCGACACGGATAGTTTCGCAGTTATAGGGGAATTCTAACGGCCTGTCCCGAGTGACGGTCAAGCCGAGGTTTCGAATCTCTGCGCTTCTGGTTTCGCCACGGCTGCACAACGTAGTTGGAATAGTCGACAAACTATTCCGTTGCATCTCGTAGTTGGCACAGCTTGCTGGACACAACACTGGCCAGCCCATGGTCTGTAGTGAAACTGTTTGCCGCGACCTTGTTTAATCGAATTAGACCGGGGTCTTTGATTAATTAACTGAAGCAACATCACGCTGTCACTGTCACTCATTCACGATCGATGTTCAATTTTTTTTACTTCTGCAAGTGTCGCGATTGCGTTGCGCCGACTGTATAAGGTGTCTGATGAAGTGTCACACCGAAGATTCACAACTAAATCTTGTTATTTGGAGACGATTTTTCCTCGGGAAAAATGTCGAGGGAAACCATCATTTGTTGCATGTTCCCAATTTTTGCCATCGTGTACCTTTACAACTAAACCTTAAATCAAAATTTTATTAAAGTATACTCTACTTGAAATTAATTGGAGAATGTGGTTTTGTTAATATTTGATTTCTACAAGGTTTGGTTTGTAAAAAAAACTCTTTATTTTCAATCGTTTGTAATTCGAAAATAATTGATGCCTCAATATTTTTGCTGAGGAAAAATTATCTCCAAATAACAAGATCTACTTGTATATTTTCGGTGTGACACCTTATATCAGACACCCTGTATAAACGTGTGAGAAACGAGACCTAGCAATAATACTGTAATAAATTGAAATGTAGACATTCTCTCTCTTTCTCTTTCTCTTCTCGTTACTCGCGCAAGTTTGCAAAAGTACTTTATTCGCTGCAGTTGGCTTACGAGTTTCGCGGTACTGGCACTCGGAGTCTCGTTAAAAAATGGTAACGATCTTCCGAGACTTTTGAAACTCGATGCGAAAGAACGAAAAGAGAGAAAGAGAGTTGTTGGGGGCGGCAATTTTTTCTCGTCGACGATGCGCCATAGCGTCGTGATTATGTTTTTTAACTTTGTCAAATTTCTCTCCTATCCCGCTTCGCTTCTTCGCCCGACTCGGACAGGGATCACCGAGGTACAGCCGGTTATTCCGCTCTTGCTTAACTCGACGATCAATCTTGCCAGGCCAATTCCGGCGGTCCAAGAGTATCCATCTAACCCGCCACCCATACCACCTCCGCCGGAAAAGTATTACGCCAGTACGGAGATCTGTAAGGTGAGTCGCAAAAATGTACGGTAGACATGCGATCCCGGGCCGATTAAGTTTTCCTGTAGCAGTAATGCCAGGTACTTCGGACACGAAACTGTGTCAAACGCCGTCTCGTGACCGTCGGATCTCCGTCACGATCGCCGAAAGGGAGGCAACCTTGTAAAACCGGCCACTGGGGCTTATGTAAATCACGAGGTTAATTCGAATATTATACCGCTTGACTTTTCAATTTTCGCTCTCTGTGCCTTTCTAAAACCGATCTAAACGTATTTTAAGGATATATTTTTCTGATCAACCGCGCGATGTGAAACTGTTGCAGGAATTATTAATACCGCGTGTCAAATCATTATTTTGTACAAGTTCCTTGAAATATTAATTGTAAACTTTTTTTTCACGTTAAAGAATATCTGTACAAAAACCGGGATATATAACGAATTATATTTGCTGGCGTAAAATATATTGTATTTCAATTATATCATTGTATCGATTCCGTCTTAATCTCATTTTCAACAATACTTGTTTACTCTGCACAATATGCACGACGCAAAATACTTTATCCTATGAATTATGAGGATTAATGATCGAAAAACGAGGAAACAACGGGGCACTATCAATCATACTACTGCGAAGAAAACGTCTTTCGTGGGTATACACAAATTATAGAGCGATAATGTAAAGGGAATGGTTATTGATTATGGTAGTTTCACGAGAAGTACATTTATTGTTTGATTATACTATCAAGTCCGATCAATTTATGGAAACGCAAGATATAGTGAAACAGATATATTTCTCGCTCGCGTGATTACATTTCACATTATTTCACGATTATTATAATATATTTAATGCCATATATTCATTAATGCAGATATATTTTTCCAATGTTTTATGTATGTACTTTGTAAAGCACGTAATCAAAAATTAATCTTATCTTGAACTAATATTATCTCGTATTCCAATCTTTTTAAGTATTTTCTTGTAAAAAAATATTTATTTTTATTTATATATGTTATTGTATTAAGAAATGTATTTTTATATTTTCCTGTATTGTTTTCTCTGTTTTCTATGTATTTTTTATTCGATAAATAAAAATAAAAAATTTGCTTCGATTGTCGAGCTCTCGAGATTGTTAAAATTATACTAATTTAATCGACGAAAAATTTCTGTCATCGCAGAGTCCTTTACCACCACTGCCACCCTCGCCGACACCGAGCACACCACCCCCGATGAGCGCCAAAGCCTCTAGCAGTATGACTAGTTATAGTCCGGAAGATATGCTCACGGAGGAAGAGGAGGAAATACCCGAGTGTATCCTCGATTTTCCGCGAGAGAAACTCAACATCGTGGAAAATCTTGGCTGCGGATACTTCGGCGATGTTCATCTCTGCGAAGTCGATAGATTTCCTGGATATGATGAGGTCTTTAGGAATACTTCCAGCGATTTGGTTGTTGTTAAATCCTTGAAACCAGGATCTTCCGATGCTCTTAGGTAAGAATCATTTTTTTAATTAAATTTCATAAACTTTCTTTAAATACAAATACAGAAACTGCTGATTTTATATACATTTTTGCTACACATCGAATTGTCTATGACAAATCGAAAAAGATTCTTTATATGGTCGCAGATTGGCGATAATTATTATTTTAAACATTTTTGATGTGTGCGTATGTGTGTGTGAAATATTTTCTTTTTCGTATATATATTCTGAGAAATTGTATTATTTACTGAATTGTATTATTTAATAAATAACAACTTTATATGATAATATAAATAATAGCATATTATTTTTCGCATCTATTATACATTCTATATCGCTTGCTACCAATATAATAACAGATCCGCGTATTAATTAATTTTCATCTTCACTTTGCGTTTCAACTATCGCGCTAAAAACATCGAATTGTGCTTACTTTTTAGTAAACGCAAGCATTTCATATATGGAGTTTTGAGCCTCGAAAGAAGACCACTATAATGAATAAAAATAAAAAATGAAAGTACAGATCCGCCGATGTAAAAATTATCCCGATAGATTATATAGAGCGCCGCATTTAACGGCGCGTAATTCAATAATAAGCACAAAGTGATTCCGAATGTAATGACACGCGCATTAAGTAGATGCGGCCGGATAATGCGGAAGAGCTTTAAGCGATCGATGATTAGCATGTAATCGAATAACTCGTCCGCGCGTGTGTTAACGTCAAATATAATTTTTTCTTTCATGAAGGAACGCGAATTTTTTACGCCTTTAGAAAATTGAAAACGCAATAAAAACTCCTGTATTCAAAAAACGGTCTTTTCTTTATATAACATGTAATTCACCGATCGGCGATATGAAATATTCATATTCAATATAATTTTGTTTACGTTGAATATTATTTACGTATTTACGCAATTTTCCCATCCTCGCCTAAATCCACCATTATAACCTACTTAACGAATCAGCGCGTGTATACGCTCTGTACGTGCTTCATCGCGGCTTTTTTCAGAGAAATATTTGAAAATCAGTAATTACTGATTACAGCGATACTACGCGCGCGATATATATATATATATATATATTTAATTTTATTGAATAATATTTACGCGTACGTATGAGAAAAAAATAATATAATAATTATATAATGAATATAATATAAAGTGTAATAATTTACAAAAATGTTACAAACTGTTGTGATATATTTAGAAGCACATACATTGCTTTTGTATAAGATATACTATTTCGGGAAATAATATAGAATATTCCCATCCACACGAGGACGCTTGCAACTCGACTCGACTGTATCAGCTAATATAAAGGATTTTATTCTTTTATTGCGTTCGCGATGCCGCTACAGTAACGTTTTGTTCTTCGGACGATTGCGATTTTCGCTCGCGGATATGTAGGCCGATAGAGAAATCGAAACAGGCGGCGGAGCGTGTCGTAGCGGAATCGCCGACCCCCCAACGACGCGTTGTCGTCGCAGTAGCGAAAGGATGATCCTCGCAGACAGGATCACGGATGGCATTGTCTACAAAACACATTTCGCCGACTGGGAAAAGCCCGCGGAACCCGTGTCGTCGCGAAAAGCGGATGCAACTCATGTTGGAGCACAATCGTCCACGGCTTTTATCCTTTTCTACATCCGTCCTTCTGCCGGCTGCGACATTCCGGAAAAAGTCTGTCAATCCAAACCGCCCTGATAGATTTTTGTTCCTTGATTCTATTTCGCCCGCGTGACAATTGAATTTTTCGATGCAACAAAGATGTGTTTCTCCTCTTCTATCTTATTATTTTCAAAATGATTAGTTTTATGTCGTGTATGCATGGATATATTTTAAATATATAAAATAATTCGACCGAATAATTTAATGTCTTTCTTTGATAATTAATACGATGTATAGAATTGTGTCCTGAACTGACCAAATGCGTATTTCATCATGAATCTAACCTCGATGAATATATGTATATTCGAAATATATTTATTATTTTTTTTACATGAAAGTTGCATACTCGTTTATATAAATACGCGTTTGAAATATAGAGAAGTTCCAATAAAAAATGCAAACTTTTGAATTAATAATTGCACAAATATCATGAATTACTTTGTGCCATAATATTTACTTTAGTCATGATTAAACCAAATTGATTACAAATCAATTAAAGAATAATAAATTAATAATAAATAATCTCATTAAGCGTAATACATTTTCTCTGTAATAATTTACGATACCTATTAGCCATCTTACGAGCACTACAAATTCAGAAAGATATAAAGCCGTGGACTCTACTTTTAATACACAACTTGTCGAACCCTTATCGATCCATTATATAAAACATTTAGTATTTTAACTTATTCTACTTTGTCTGCATTTTCAAAAAATATTTATTCAGTATTTATTTATTACTACACGCCCAGTTCAATAGTACGATGCTTTCGTCTTTATTCTCGTGTGCTTCTAGTCTTTCTAGTGTCTTCTTTCCCTTCGCGCTTTCGTATCACTTCCCTTCTTTCTTCCTCGCGAGATGGCAAACTCTCGAGAAACAAGTGAGCAATACAAGAACGGAATACCTGCATTACTTTTTATGCACACACACATACACGCACATGTAGGTGTATATATATATATACATCTATTCGATACTCGTGGTTTTGGTACCGCGGATACATATACTAAGATATTATCTACTTTTGGATGCTCCATGTGTTTTCCAGGATAGAATTTCAACAGGAGGCAAAAAGGCTAGTGCGACTCGCCGATAGAAATGTCGCGCGGCTACTCGGTGCCAGTCTCGAGAATGATCCCATGTGTATCGTATTGGAAAACGGCGAGTATGGGGATTTAAATCAATACCTGCAGAGTCACATCGCCGAGACTTCGAATCTGCACACAGCCAAGACACTCAGGTACGAGATAATTTTTCGATTTTTGCATTAATTAATTAATTGATATTATTAATTTTTAAATTTTTTAATGCGTATATTCGGGACGCAAAGTGTTCGGTGAAGGTCTGTGTGTGATGTATTTTTCATTAACGATCACCGAGTATATCGACGAGCACATAACTTTGTACTTTAGATGTTAATATATTTCATCATCCATAGATAGAATACCATAATAGTCCTCGGTCGTTCATAAATATGTACCGTTGTACGTTTTTGAGAGATCGTTTGGGAATTCGATTCGCACGCGAGCAGAGGTATATGACGAAAAATGCGTATGTATTGCAGATACGGTCGTTATTCGAGTAATTAACATAATTTAATGAGCACAAATTTGATATTGTGGTATACGGAATAATTTGTAACATTGGTACCATCGCATCATTTTAAAAGCGATACATTATCAATGTTCGCTTTAACGCACACTGCCAATTGGCATTACAACACTCGAAGTAAATATCACATCCGAAATATTATACAATTATAATCATCATCATTCTGACGTAAAATCAATGAACCATATTTCGACATGTTCTAAATTTTGCTTTGATATCATCCCGTATATTTTCGAATAAGTTGTAGTGCTCATTATAATAGCACCTTCAATAAATAATATTGATTAATAATTTCATAATATCAATAAACAATTATTGATATAAATAAATTTACTTAATTAACAACGCAATATTTACATTACCGGATTAATCAGATTAAGGAAATAAAAATTTATCAACGCGATGTGTAATATGTATTAATTATAGAGTCTCTATCTATATATTGAGGTTTCTAATAGAAAAAATTATTAATATATTTTATAGTAGCGCGAAGCGTCGAATACACAGGGGATTTGCATGACGCACAATGACTATTTTGTGCGTTACCATAAATGAACGATGAAAGCATTCGAGCAGTAGTACAATAGGCGTCCCGGTTGAACGCGATCGTGCGAAATTTTTGTTTTATTCTGTCGCCACGGAGAACGTCAGTTCCAATCAGTCCGGAGGGCGCGTGAAAACGCGCGATTGCCAGGACTACGCGGAAAGTACTCGAAATACGAGAAATCGGCTGAAAATGAGAGGTGAGCGACGGAGAGGATCATCGGTGCTCGTGACAGGTGTCGGCGGAGCGTGTTTTCCCGCGCGTTTTCAGCTTTCGCGCGAGATGAAGCAGCCGCCGGAGATCTCGCTTTGTTCCCATCGAGTGCCGCGGAAAACATCGATGCATCGGGATATATTCAATAATTCGCGCACATATACACACGGAATGCGCGAATAGAATATTCCGCAATCACAGAGTTTCGTGATATCGTTTTGTAATATTTTACCGTACACTCTTCATATATCACATCTCGTGTTTTGCAAATTTAATTTTTTTTTTATTTGAATAATCCTCGATGCAGATGTCACAACAGATGCGAAACAGCTGCCGTTAATAGAGATACCATATATATGCGCGCATCTGTCCGTATTTAATTTTTAAGAAGATCCACATAATGTTGAAAATATCGCGAATAACCCTGCATTTGTGCGATTTAATTGCGCGCAACTCTTCAACGTCGATGCATTTGAATAATTTGCGCTCAACAACCGCATCTGCGGTATTTTCGAAGCAGTTAATTAAATTGTCGTGACATATGTACTGTACGTCGCTCATAATAAACGAAGTTTCCATTTATTTTTGCACGAGTCATCTTTTTAACTAAGGCCAGTTTGTCGCGCGAATCTAATATTGAGAATAGCCGGAGTTAGCACGCTCCTTCTACACCGAATCGCATTTTGCCGACGTCGCAAATGAGGCTTTAAGATTTTCGCGACGCTGAATCGCCAGGAAAATTTTTGCACGACGCGATATTAAACGTCTCTCATGCTCTCTTGATAACTCGCGTATTCTCAGTAATTTTACTACATTATCGAATTAAATATAATTGTATATAAATAAAATATAAATCATATAATTAAGATCTTAATTTATGTCATATGAAGAATAATTCGATTTCGATATTTCCGAGAAAAGAAGATTAACTATGCGATCCAATGTTATTAATATTAACGTCACGAGATACTTATAAGATATATATTTTAGAAAGCATATTACATAAATATTTTGAGATATTATTATGGAATAAATGATATATTATAGCGAGAGCTTAAATATTTCAATTTTTCGAACGGACATTTTTATTCAATGCGGTGAACAAGATAAGAATATTGATGTATCTATCAATCGAAAATGGGCTTTTCCTTATAACTATTTTATATATTATTACTCGTTTGGCATATATGATGTACACGTTCATGTCGTAACAACGTCAAAGGACTGTCAGAAGGACGACACGCTACCATCAAAACGACTCTATCGGCGTATCTCTCGTAGAAATACCACGCAGAGTCGTTCCGTAAATGGTTTGTGCCCTATATACGTACCAGGGAGTGTAAATAGTAAAAACGTATCTAGCTACCCACCTATACATACGTTTTCAGTGAACGAATGCAAACGAACGCTTAATCGTAACTAACGCATACGCTGGTCGCACTTTGCCCAATTTTTAAATTCGATTACTGGAAAATATATAGAGATAATAGGAAAGCGGATTTTTGAAACTAAAAGGATTTTTCTAATTTCTCGCTCTGGAAATCGAAAAGTGGAAAATATTAAACTTAACTTGACACAGGCAAGCCAAGCATAAAGGAAAAAGTATAGAAAAATCTTTTTTTACTATAAAAAAAAAAAAGATTTGCATCATCTGAACACGTAATTAGAGGCAATAATAAAAATATGCTTACGTGTAAGAAAGGGAATTCGACAAGTTTAATTTGAAGCCTTAAGATTTACTTCGAGTAAAGTAGTTCGAGAGCAACGGAATCATTTTACTTTTATTTGCATTAAAAATGTCGTACTAGTCGAGTCGTTGAGTTGAATGTCCGTCGTTTGTGGCGTTACCGCTACAAACGCCTCGTCTATGTATACCGAGGAGTTTCTGCGAGTAAACTTCACGACATATAACCAACCCCGTTCTTCGTATTGCAGTTTCGGCACATTGGTTTACATGGCCACGCAAATAGCATCCGGCATGAAGTATCTTGAGGAAATGGACTTCGTGCATCGGGACCTCGCCACGAGGTAAGCTTACATTGTTTCCCATAAGTTGCTTTGAGGGCTTGCTCATTAATGAGCCAGTTGTTGTTTGCTGTATTATGGGTTTGCTGTTTCGTAAGCAAAACTAAACGCACGTACAGCAGAGAAACCCGTCAATCTTCCCCTCAAGAATATATATATATATATATATATATATATACGCAGAAGCTATGCTACAATCGAATATATTTGATTTTTGTTACATTATTTTAGAATTACTTCTAAATAAAATTTTTAATATATAAATAAGTTTTTAATATATAAATAAAATTTTTTGCATACATTGCAGCAGCATAAGAAAAATTATTGTCGAAGTTATATATCGTCTCATTCTTAATAATATACGCGCTCTCATAGGTATATATACATATATATATATATATATATATATATATATATATATATGTATATATACCTATGAGAGCGCGTATATTATTAAGAATGAGACGATATATAACTTCGACAATAATTTTTCTTATGCTGCTGCAATGTATGCAAAAAATTTTATTTATATATTAAAACTTATTTATATATTAAAAATTTTATTTAGAAGTAATTCTAAAATAATGTAACAAAAATCAAATATATTCGATTGTAGCATAGCTTCTGCGTAGCAGCTTTTGGGGATTTATTAAATTCCGTTGATCTTAAATTTCGAAAAGAACGCTTTAATCTCTATCTGCAACGTTTCGCAATGATCGGACAAAATCGTTTCACGCATCAAACAAACAAACAAACAAACAAACAAATGCATACTCTATTCGGTCTTTCTGTAAGCGTACGAAAGCATGCCTTCAGGCATTACGATGGGATTGCTTTATTACAGTGGTCGATTGTTTTATCGTCTCACTCCCCCTTCCACTAGCATCTCTCTATATATATATACCTAACCTAACGATTTCGCTTGCCCCTAAACCGTGCTTTTCCACCCTGTGCGCGATTTGGAAACTCTTGAACCCGACAGCGCCGGCAGCGCGGCACGACAACCAATATCGTAGAGCTATTAAAAGCGAGGGAATGGAGGGATAGAAAGCGACCGGAGGGGTCTGGATCACGTGTTCGAATTATTAACTCTAATCGTGAGCCTTAATTATTATGCCCCTTGGCGCGATCGTTGTCGCGAGGGGTACAAGAAGCCAGACAAAGGGGATGAAATTCGTTCGTGATTTGTAGAAAAGTGCAGTATACGTTTGACATTTGTGTGTATGCCGCAACGGAATAAAAGTAACTTATTATAGTTCTTAACAGCTTAGACACATTATTTTTCGTAACACAATTCTCAGTGAATTTAGTTCAGGATAAGTAAACAATATAAATGTGGCGAATAAGTCTATTATATTAGGAAAAAAAATCAATCGCATTTATGGAATCGATTTTGAGAATTTTGCTGAAACATAAACGAAGAATAATACGTTTAACTGTTAAAACATCATTAGTTTTTTTTTATTTGCGTTACAAGCACAAATATCAAATAAATTATATACTCCTCAAGACATTATTGTTTGTTCAACATCTTTATACTTCATATAAGTTTTATTCGTTTATTGCTATATTGTTAATGCGTAATAATCAAAATTACAAGACTAGTATAATAATACATATACATTTATGCAATTTAAAAGAAATGCGATTGCATTTGGACGTTCGAGAAATAAAAGTCGACGAGTAATGTTTTTACGGTGCCAGAAGTAGAAAAACTTGCTAACAAATCTGACAGAGCGTGCAGACGTTGACAACGGGTGCAAAAGTACCCATTGGGGCGCGTAAAATAAAAGCGTCACTACTAAACCATCCCCTGCGTCAGTGAGCCACTACCCTTTTACCATGAAACGCGATAAACGGTGAAGTTTACGCGCAAATCAGTGCGAAACTTTGAACGACCGTCGTTTTCGACATGCTCGCAACTATCCTACCATGAGCTGCTTAAACGCGAGTTCTCGCGAGCTCGCAAACAAAATTGCAAAATACGATCTCGTGCGTCAATCGTGCAACAGCTGCAACATTCTTGTTCGTTAATTATTTTTCATACATTATAATTATTGAGAAAATGTCATTTGTCCGAATTAAATTTTGTATCTTTGTTATATGATACTATAAAAAAGTTGTTCCCATTTTTATTATTTTGTAATTAATCTATTTTGATAATAGATGCATTAAATATATTTTTTATAACTATATCTATATATTTATTCGTTGCTATATAGCCACATATTTTATATCTTTGTTATGTGATATTTCAAAAAAAGTTTTTTCTTTTTTATTATTTCATAATCTATTTTGTAATTAATTTATATTGATACAGATTGTATCAAAAATATACGTATATTTTTATAACTCTTTATATACAGTATTACACATATAAAAGGCTAATAAGAGCAGAAATAATATTATGGTTATAAAAACTAATTTATTACATTTAATCAATATATACTGATAGAAACAATAAAGTTTAAATTAATATAAAATTATAAAAATAAACTCGAAAGTTAAAACAAATGAAAAAGCGAACGTTTCGATCCAATTTTTCGAATCTTCAGCGCAGTACATTCTTTATATACATATATATATATATGTATATTTATTTATAGTTATATAGAGAAATAAAAGAATTTTTTTTTTTAACCAATGTATACAAGAAAAAAATCATAAACTGAAAAACTAGCATTTAGTTATGTTCTTGTGATACATATTTCGATAAACTCTGTTTGTTTTTGATATGATTGTCGCGTGCAAAATATAAAAAAATAAAGCGTGCACAAACGCATATTCATTTAGCTACATATACATGTATATGTTATATATTTGATACAGAGACCAATAGAATGTTGCAGCTGTGCAGTTAGCAGCGATCTCATGGCCATCGATAATAAAAGAATGGAAGTGTTAATTTGATTAAAAAATAATTCCATTGTTTTTCATCTCTTCAAAATTCGCGAGATGGAATATATTTCGGAATATATTACACAACGAGAGAGAAAAAGGGGCTTTACATAGGAATCACAAGAGAGGAATGTTTTCAAATATTTTTCAGGAATTGTATAGTGTGTCGCGGATGTACCATTAAGGTATCCGATTTAGGCAGCGGACGAAGCGCATACGCAGCGGATTACTTCCGTGTTGATGGACGTCCTCCATTACCGATTCGATGGATGGCATGGGAATCAATGCTAATGGTGAGTGTGTACAATGAATCAATGCTTATTGTATATTTAAGCGTTACATATTTTAACCCTCCATCTCTGTCTCTACCTCTCGACATTTGTTTTTCCCTGCGGGATATCAGGAAGTTTAGCGCTTCCGCGTCCAAATCTCCGTATGTGTGCTTTTATATCGAAACCTTTCGATTTCGGCGAACGTTCGCAAGTTTGCGGCAATAAAGATCGGCAATGCGAAAAGAAATCGAATAGTATATAGATAAAAATACGGAGGTTATGTCAAATTGGCGCAAACAATTTTCTCTCGTTCGCAAACGAGCAAAATAGAAGAGGACAAAACGCGTCGAGTCGTTTTAATTTTGCTCCACGCATGAATTGGATGTATCGTTTTGACGAACTACGGCGCTACGTATCCACGTGATGAAATTCGATTTTGCTCGTATTTTTTTTCCATTGTTTTTTACGCCCGGAAGTAGAGTCTACTCGCTGTTACGCATTACGCACTGCCACAAGTCGCTATCAATTTTTCTCTGCCCATCATAAATACATATTGCAATTACTGCAGCAACAAAACGTCTTTTAAAAATTTATAGATGCGATGAAAGCAACTATTGAAAAGATATATTCCGATCATCACACAGATCTTTGTCGTTATATTACGTAATATTATTCATAAAATTGCAATTATTTATCATTATAATTATAATTAATCAACAAATTGCAATTTGCTTTGTTGACGATGAGATTATGGTGCACTTGTCAATATTTCCACCTTTTAAACAAATTCTTCAGTCGAAATGAAATTGATGTCATTTGCTACAAGCATTGCATAGCAAAATTAATTTAAAACCGTAATTGATTATTTTTTATACTAATGTGTTCTCATTATACGCGGAATTTATTCAAAAATTGTTGTTTAATTTATAGAAAATAAACCTTTTTCAAGTAGAAGTGCATTATTTATATAAAATTTTTAAAAATATGAGACTTAATCTTCATTATCGCGAGAGATAGAAAGTGTTACATTTTATTTAATGTATTTTGCGTGCTTTTAATTCCTCAATTGTCGCGACCAGTCAGTGTAGAACTGTCGATCCGCGAAACCGCTCGATATCAACGCCGATAGAGCCGTCTGCGGTCACGTTGGTATTAGCGAATTGAGCTTGCCCATTGCAGCGCACGATACGCGTCATTGAACTATAAAAGTACCAGACAAAATGTGCGATACGCGTTTGAAAATTCATTTTCGATGTTGAGCGGCTTTTTCGGCTTAACCGCTCGACAATCCAAACACAATCGTTCCGCTTCTCCGTTCGAGCACGGCTGATGTTACAACATAGTTACATGTAGATGACGATGGAAGATACTCGCGTTTACTCTTCGCAAAAATTCGGGAAACTGCGTGCCAATTCGAGCTCGGCAAAAGAAAGAAGCAAATTTTTTTCCGTCTGAGAGCTTGTTACGCTAATACGCTGCGCAAGTGAAATATGTCCGCGCTATAGTCAGACAGACATCAATATGGTAACGTTATTTAATAGTAATAGAATTTTTATAGGAACAAAAATTTTGATCGCATGAAATGTTAATTTGAAATATCGAAGATTTCGATCACACAGAGATTAAAGAATTATACAGAGATTCAAGTGCGTAACTGAATAATTAACGTGTTATTCTTGGTAATCTTTAAATTTGTATATGTAATAATCAATTATTTAAATCTGCAAAAGATCCAATGACAAGTTAATTTATAAACTCGACTATTTTATATTGCAAAATTCCGAAAATAAATATTTCTATGAAACAATTATGCAAAGTTTGTAAAAAAATTTAATGAATATAATTAGCACATTTTCAAAAATAAATATTATATATAAAAGTTTGATTTATTTTAACTATTTTAATTTAAATTTGAAAAGCTTTGCAATTAAAAATATTTTGTTTAAGTATAAAAAAATTAATTATAACATGAATATAAATTTAATTTGCTCTTGTTATAATTATATGTATAGAAATATATCGGCGCTCTATTCTTTATCGTTATTCACGGAAGTCGTACATAAATCGAAACTGTATAATGGCTAATTAATATCAAAATGGTAATTTCAACGAAACAGAAATGAGAATAGGAAATATAGTACCGAATAGCTAGTTGACATCGCCGTTTCAAACTGACTGCGCCATTAATGTTTCATTATTGTCCATCATTTATCCGGCTTCCGCCATTGTATCGCGCTAATGAAACGACCTCGTTTCTACGTGCGAAATACCGCTTCAAGAATTATCCGGGATTAGCAGCGATTTAATGGTTTTATTGGTCGCGATCGTATCTGAATCGATTTGTGATCGTGAAGATCAGTCTTTATAAAAAAAATTTGTTCAATGATCGCGCGTCATACAGACCCTTAAGCCAATCAAGTTTAAATTTAAAAAAAATATTTCTCATTTATAATTTTTTAGAATATTTAAACATGGAAATGTAAAACATTTTTAGTAAAGAAGGAGGACATGCTCTCGTATTTTATGCAGATATACGTGTTTTATTAACAACAATATTTTATCATTATAACGTGCTATTTTATCACTTGCTCGGATCGTTATTCATCTTTAATTAGCATCAGTAATTTAAATTAACGTGGAAGTAATAATGTGCACACATGATTGTGTATCACGCACTTCATAAATAATCGAATTATGTTTTAAGATCCTCTCGAGAATATACGCGGGCTAAATTCTCTGCACGCATATGCAATCTTCTTAGCATGCTACCGGTAATGTAATTTAAATACTGAGAAGTTGAATTAATATTTGCATTAAGTATACAATTGTTTGTCGTAAATCAATTCAAAATTGCGACTTACAAGACCTGCCGATTAATTTTGTCATTCTTCTTCTATTACGATTTTTTCCACGCGATTTAATGAATAATTGAAAATTGTTTTCCTCATTTTTTATCATTATATATATAAGAAAATAATTATGTTTACATTTTTTATAATTAATGCATAAGAGAAAAGAAATTGATCTGAGATAAATGCTACAGAGACACACGGTTGTGTGAATATACTGTATACTGATTTTAATTAAAATCAATAGTTAACTCTAAAACTTTTCCTTTGCCTCTCTCGAGCTTATCATTGATATTTTATCATACAATTATTTTGCTTCACGGATCATACGCATGCCAATGGAAGTGGAAGGTACACAGCCATCAATGTGAGGAAAAGAGTAAAACCGTGTAACTGCTTTACGGCTTTCCGCGAAGCTTGGGCTTAACTGAGTTACGTCAGTTGAACTTTAGGAAACTCGAAGGCGCATACAGTTTCCATAAATTACTCCTTCGCGCTCAAGCATTACGTTTCCATGCTGTGCAATTTCTGCTTTTAATCATTTTTGCGCTTTACGATCAGATATTAACTGAATATGTCAAAATAAGAATTATGTATATAATATATTTATATTTATTATTTAATTTTTAAATAATTAATCACATTACACAGACGCAGAGAAGAGAGAGATATGTATATATGATGTATATTAGAAACTAGTATCAAATAATGACTCTCTATAGAAAATTTCAAATCTTTTCGCGGAATAAACTTATTCAATTATATCAAAAATGTAATAAACTCTGAGTGCTCTTAAACTATGAATAATAAAAAGTACTGTAACAAACATGCAGTACGCGTAACAAACGAGCTTTTGTGAACATTTCTTGGATGTGTTTACCTTGCACAGGGAAGACATACATGCAAGGGCGACGTCTGGGCGTTTGCCGTCACGCTGTGGGAAATTCTGACGTTCGCGCGAGAGCAACCTTTCGAGGAATTTCCGGATCATCGAATAGTGGAGAATGCGACTTATTTTTATCAGGAGGACGAGCGGAGGGTAAGTGCGCGCGAAGTAATTCTTCGACATCTTTCATTGTGTCCGATGTACTTAATGTAACGAGCACACTGAGTACTTGATTTTGCATCGCCAAGTTTTCAAGGCGTTTTGAACGTTGCTATTTATTCTGTCTTTCAGACATTTGATTACCTTGCTCTATGGATTCTTACAATTTTATTCCATTTATTTTTATATTAACGTCGTCGGAAAAACAGGTTTTAGACAAACGTATACACGCAGTGCTAAATATGTAATTACAAAAGTGAGCCGCGAGTGTGTTTCCATGAAAATGGCATAACTACTTGTCTAGTAATTCATTTAACGTAATAAATATTGCGTCGGGCGCTCGAGTCTCGTGTCGCGTTCATTTTCCCAACGTCGACAATGCTTCAAAATAACACGTACACTGTAAGAATTGTTATTGCACTCTCTCGGTTTGTGCGCGAGCTATAAATATTTATGATTAATTGCGCGAAATATTCTTTAAATTATGTCATCCGTCTCGTTTATTTTTATAATAATCGCATTGAATTATAACGAGAAGTAAATGACACACAAATCTATTCTATATTCTGGTGTAACGCGAAAATACTACACATTTCAGTATATATTTAATACGTAGCAGACTGCAAAATTCAATTTGCGAGATATTTACGTACATGACTGTAAAGTTAGAATCGATTCGCTTATTTTACGCAGATGATACTACCCCTGCCAAAGAACTGCCCTAAAGAGATTTACGACTTGATGCGCGAGTGCTGGCAAAGGAACGACGTCGACCGACCAACCTTCCGCGAGATCCATTTGTTTCTACAACGAAAAAATCTCGGATACAAACCCGGTGAGTCGAACGATACCTGATATAGAGAACTGGAAGGCTGGAATCTTATCCGGCTTTCTATGATCGGCGAATTAAACGGCAATTGGTGGAACTGCCCCTCATCGACCAAGATAGACCAAGTCAGACCAAGTTAGTATCTAGGGTGACGGTCCATAAATTGTCTGTAATAAACGTGAATTCTTTGCGATGATCCGTGATCGTACACGTCCATCGTGTTGGTGATCTAGATCATCCGCTATGATACCTATACGTGCAAGGAAGAGAAAACTGATCGCATGCAGAACTTTTCACGATTATCGTGAATTATCCCATTTTTTTTCGATCGTCACGTATCGCTATGAACAGCGCTGTGAATTTAATCAACAATGTGAATCGCACAAATCATTATCGCCATAGCACCTGTGTGCAAATTGCAAAGAGACATTATCTGTATAAAAGTTAAAAATGTAAAAGTTGCATTTTTTTCAATCATTCCTTTGTAAAGCTGCAAAATGGATTGACATCTGTCTTGCTGATGTATGTGCGTATTATTTAGCGATGCGCAAAGCTTGACAATCGCCGTAGAATGTTAATTTTCTATAAATACATTTGTTTAATCTGCGAAGTATTAATTTTTGCCCAACGTAATCGAATTTCTGTGATTCTACACGATTAATTAATGCAATAACGCATTCGATCTTTCGGAAATTGTCTTCGTGCAAATATTTGTTCTCGTTTTTCTTCGTATTTTCTCCCTCGGTTATATCGGCCGATATGTGTCGCCTGCAGAGAAGTTACGCGCGTCGTCCAAACCGGGTGTAACCCCTCGATAATGATACCGAGAATCTGCGGCAGCCGTATCCACGCTCGTGCAATCGAAATGGATAGATTATGATTTTGATCCGCGGCATTCGATACGAAATGGAACGTTACTAGTGTCGCCAATACGCGGGGAGCACGTTCGATAAATCGCACATATGCTGCTCCGAAATTGATACTGTCAGCAAACAAGCTTATGATATTCCCGCCGTAACGGCACTCGCGTCACGTTCGGAATATACGTGGATCGTACTCGAAAATCGCGCGTTGTACGTAACATTTCCGCTGACGAATAACATAGTCCATTCTAAACTCCGACCCTCGAAAAAAAGTGGACTCTTTATCCGGGATCGGAGTCTTTGCGAGTTTCACGTGGGATTACGTTATCCGTTTTTCGAGCCTTTTATATGTCAGTTCTATAGACATGTTTACGAAGAAAATTCGGTTTTTTTTCTAATATATAGGTATATAGGTCTACATATACATATACGTATACACACACATATATATATACCGTTTATAATACAGTTAAGCAAGTTGTTGTTTTTAGCAAAGCGAAATCTATTATCTTATTGCGAGAATACGATCAAGTTGATTGTATTATAATATTGATCAATGTATTTTCGGTGACATTTGACGTAAATAGCTATTTATACTCTTTGCTGTATCGTTTTAGTCCCCAAATTATCGAGATGACAAATGTGTAAAGACCAATCAATTACTTATTTTTTGTTTGCTCAATTATACGTAATCAATATTTCGCTTCCCAATTGACTCGAACGCGACAAGTTACTTTTTTAGAATTTTTAATTAAACATTTATCACAGTGGCGTGCGGAAGGAATTATGCGAACGTCGCTTCAAGGAGCTTATAAATGCACAAAGAATTATGAAATGGGTTTAAGAGGAACGTTCTGTAAAATTAATCAGATCGTTACGCGCCGTACAGGAAACATTTTTCGTAGAGTTCGGAAAAAGGAATAATCTTAAGCCGCGAGTTTGCGTTAAGTTTCCCTTAAACTACTATTAAGCTTAAGATGCGCTTAGCCCAAGTGCATAAATGTTTGACAATACCATTAGAGGTTGCAGTATAAAATCATATAGAGTGTGTAAAGAATGTTAAAGGATTAATCGACAATGTAAATTATTAGATCATTCTATGACCGGCGTTTTTATTGTCGGTCATGTATCGCATAATCGTTTTGGAGTCGTTAATTCTATCGATTCGCAAAACTTCGCCTGTGTCCCGTTGCTGCTACAAAAGCCACAAGTTGGATGCATCGTGATTTTAGAGAGAGAAAAACAAAGGAGAAGCACATGTGACCTGACGTTAAGTTTATAGCGTGGAATAGAGATGGGCGATTTACCCGGTAAATGTTTTTGCTTGATTTGATATGCAGAAAATCCGTTCGGCTTCCTATACGTATATAAAATAGTCTACAGGCTATAAACATTTAATAAAGAAAGCTTAATTATTTCTGCCTTTCTCGATGATTGATTTCATTTGTGATTGTCTCATTTATTTTCTCAACTTTTTATTACTCTGAACAGAATACGTGTATTCCAGCAGTAAAACACATTTCCAGGTAAATGGCTATCGTTAATACGAATAATAATGAAAGACTTCTATACTTGTTAGAATGATTCTGTATGAGATGTATAACGAAAGAAAGAGATAAATAGCTGTGCAAATCGTGACGGAGGTATATCCCTCCTAACGTGCAAAAAATTGTCACGTAAATCCCGTTGTTTTAGGCATTTATTAAAGCCCAGTGCAGACTAAGAGACTCATGCTCGTGATTTGTAAGATAATTCAAAATAGAACATATAAGCGATGAATGTGTACGATTATATAATTGTGCAAGAATTTTTTTATTTTTTAAGAAGACTTCAAGATTTATCGAAAATTTTAAAAATTTATAAAATTATATTAATTTTCTTCATTCAAAATAAATATATCAATTCATTGATAAATATTTTTAACTTTATACTCTTCTTTCTAATAATAATTTCGCTTTTTCTATTTTTGCTTTTATCGAAATATACAATTACAAATATGACAAATTTTTTCTTCAATTTTATTAATAATGAGTTATTAGACATGCAAAAGTTTTATATTTTTATACCTAACATTAAAATTTTATTGGATTATTCAAACATCATCTACATTGCTAATACAGAATTAGAATTTGAATTAATATTGAAATCTCTGTAATTATCAATAATGTGACAAAAATAAATGACGAATCTAGGAGGTTTTAACACAATTTCGTTACATTACCGTATGATTAATTGTGAAAATGAAAAATCTATAATTATCTATGTGACGTGACGTCGATAAAATTTAATATCTAAAATTAAGAACAATAACTTAAGGACAACTGCCACTGCGTTAAGCAAAACGTATATCAAGTGATATCTATCGCGACCTTAATTCAAGGCTCAGCGATCAGTTTTTATGAATCATATCTTGAGTCTTTACACACATACATATATTCTTTCTCAAATGTCCATTGCGCATGATATGATCATCATAAAATTCAAACGTTCGTTTCTGCAGGACTCGCGGATGTATCTTCTACGAGGCCGATGTATATAACCACTTAAAAATATATAATATAGTGGTAATTTTAGAAAGACTGAAGCTTCCTGCACGATCGAACGTATAAATACGGACTACGTTATATACATGTTTCTCTTCCTACAAAAAGAATCGTGCAAAATTAGAAATATTCGCATATGTAGCTTTTTATATTAATCACATTTATTTTTATTGTATTTAGAAAAAAATCGTGTAAAATAAGAATAAATATTTAACAAAAATGTGAAAACTTATTTTATAAAATGAGAAAAGAACTTGAATACTTGAAACACATATCTTTTGGATCTTTAACAATGGTCGGAAATTCAACATATCGTACACATATCGTCACCGTTTAATTCTGAGGGTGATTAATTTTAATCACAACGGCAATTCTTTCTGTAGGAAGCATTCTCACTGAATATTCGAAAACAACCATAAGTGTGAAAAATATCATCGTAGATTATTATTACGTAACCGAATCAATTCCGCCGACTATTTATTCCCATCGTAGCGATAATCTATTAAGCTGACGAAAAAAAGACACTTTGTACAATTTTTAATAACAAGATTCTAATTGTTGTAAACGCATCGATTCCAATTTTAGTGTCACATATACGTTTGTTCGAACGAGCGCATCGGCGAGAAGATCGAGAACGGATCCAGCCGCGTCAGGTCAGACTGTCAAAAATTCCTATGTGTAATATAGCCTCTTAAATCAGATACGCACTTTAATATAATTACTGGACCACATCGAGCAAGTATGTAGTCATAACTAAGAAAAATGTATACTAAACTTTTTTCAGAAAAATATTTTACAGAATTTGGATAATGAAATCTTTTAAAAACTACATATCTTGAGAAATCCGACGACAAGCTGTCACCGTTAGCCGTCTGGCGCATAACGCGATTCGATGCATCGGCACTTTGAAAAAGACAATATTGCAAAATGCGCCTCGACAGTGGTACAAAATACGATTCAATGAGAGGAGAATTTTACCATTTCTCCGGCGAACGAAAAAGATTTACACAATTTATTCGGGCATTGCTCGACCGTACATCCACATTCGTTGCGCAGTCGGAGAGAGAGATTTTCGTTGAACAACGCGTTTACTCTTCCTCTCTCTCTCTCTCTCTCTCTCTCGCTCTCTTTTCCCAGCTCAAACGAGCTCTATTTTTCATGCGTACGCAACCAATGGCAGCGGCCCGATCGCGCGCTCGCCTCTCGCCGTTAGACGCAAACAAAAGTCGAAACTCGGACGCTCCGAATACACGCGGATTCCGCGTTTGCCGATGGAATTTAATATCTGCTGCCTTCGTTACGAAACACACGGCCGTGCTTTTTTCGCCCTCTTCCACTCAGTCCTGCTCCTCCTCCTCCTCCATCTCCCTCACTTTTATTCATTCTTTGCGCTCGTTTCTCAATGTGATCGAGGTATCGGTCGAGAGAGACACGATCTTTGCTTAAAATACACGATAGAAATCGAACGAATTGGAAAAGCATCGCAAATCGAATTAAATTCTTCTATCACGTATGTATATATATATATATATATATATATATATATATATATATATATTTTTTTTTTTTTTTTTATTATTGTTTAAATCACATCGTTTGCTCGATTTGGAGTTCTTTGATCTTTACTGATTCGCACACATTCTCGTGCCAAACAGCATCGTAAAACGAAACTAGTGGCAATTCGCTCTTTAAGAATTTTTTATGAATACTTTTATGGATAAAAATAAAAATTCATACTATGCCGCGCAAAATTTATTAAGACAGGTAAGCCATAATCCGCGAATTTTAACAATTTATCATGTTTTTTATATTGGTTACCTAAAATCTAAAGTTATTTTGAATGCATCTGCACTGTAATATAAAAGTAATAAAAAACGATGTGCCTCGATTGATTTCGCGCGTATAGAGAGAAGCAAAAATATGCCATACATCTCCAATTCACAGCGCATCTATCATATTACCTGTTGTCTATCGAATAATTTAAGTAGAGAGCGTGCGCTTTCCCTTTCTCTTCTCTCTCTCTCTCTCTCTCTCTCTCTCGACATATGTTAGCCCTTTAGACAAATAAATATCGTCGTTCCAGCCTGCTGGACACGCACGTCGAAAACGGCGCACGCCAATCTCTGCGTGCAAATATAAACGGCGAAATGGGTTGTAAATATAAGCAAACTACGCAGAGCGGCTAGTGCAGGCCAGTTATCTATTGTTATCGGCGGACATATTGACTATTGTACGCGGTCAAACATACCTACCCTTTCCCATCCCCTTCTGCTACCTATCCCTCTCTCTTTCTCTCTTTCTTCCCTGTCTCTGTCTCTTTCTCTCCTTGCGATCCTGTATAAATGTCACGCACCTGTATTTAATACGTTTGTACATAGCGGTTCGTTTTCAATAAATATTCAACGCTTTGATTTTTGTTCGGCTTATGGACTCTTTTGCAACCATTGTCCACAGTATCTCATCATTGATGCTCGAAGCACGACGACTATGCGAAGCTATAAGGTGAGTATGTCATTAATCTTATAATACGTTTCCGTTTTCCAACGTTAAGTTACCTTATCAAAGATGGAGCAGAAAATTACCGTGTTATCTTCCGTAATAAACGCGTGCCACAAATTCATTTGCCGTATGCGTATATACAAATAACGTTATATTTTAACATAATGTAATTCCGCATTTCTTCCTTTTTTTTTTTTTTATTTTTAGTTATCTTTTAAAATTATATTCACTCTGAAAATTCTATGGTAGAGATGTAATTATATAAACCAAATAAAGTATTTACAGACGCACTTCCAAAATACGTCGCTATACGGTGTATAAATTATATCTGCAGACGCAACCTTTCCATTATCTCCGAGGTATTCGTTCTTATTTTCTCTTGTTTCTTTTCCCTTTCCACGCCCCTTTAATTTAAACGGGTTGCACACTCGAGTTTCTCGATTCGTCGAGGCGTTCTTTTCTTTTTATCTTTTTACGAAAACATCCTTTAATTAAGTCGTTCAAATTCATTACCGTTACACTGACGTAGAAGTAGGCACGAAATGCGACGTAGCGTCTATCGTTTCGCTAAATTCCCTTGCGAGAGATTCTCTTGATAATATCAATGAAATTACGAGAAATTACCGCACACGCTCGCCATTTATGATTCCAACCGGAATTAAAATATAACGCTTTCCTTCGACCAGCCATTCCGGACGCAAATTCTTCGATAAATTGGCCGCGTCGCGCGTATTGTCGAAATTTCGTGAAAAATGTTGGTAGTCGCCTCGAACGACTTTAAATCAATCAAATCAATTCAACGAACTCTATTGGATTCAACAGCGTCAATAGCACACAATATCTCGTTTCTTTCCAACTGCGTCGACCGGATCGGTATCTCTCGATGGGAATACGCGATAAATCATTACTTTCTCTCGTGCGACCCCGCAGTCGCGTCGTGAACTTTTTACAAGAGTACGGTTAATGAAAACGAATTGCGTTTCAAATCTATATCGGCGTAGCGATTCCTTGCGAGACACGCACCGAGAAAAAAGAGAGCCGCGACACAGTATGCGTGTATAATTTGAATGCCGGTTGTACCGTGTAGTTCTTTCTTCGAACGGCGGTCCCTTATCGGGATGGCATCACGATATGGATTTGCACGATGTGACTGGGCATCTGATAAAAGGCCAGCGGAGAAAATGAGCCAAGGCACACTTCGATACTTTGTGTATCGCGTGTCGCGTCACGACCCTTACGACGCGAAGGGGACAGTTATGGGGTGAGAGATGCAAAAAGGTTCGTGATCATGTAATCGATGTAAATCCGACGCGAAATACTCGCCCACATTTGATCGAGATTTTCTACGATTCTAGGATGCTCATTTTTCGCCAGTATATATTTTTCGAGCATTTGGAGGTCCGTAAGCAATTAATAATTTCGGCGTACCTAAGATAAAAGGTTGCTCTTTTTAAGATGATGAAAAATGAATCTCGTATAACATCTCTCTTAATATATACTCATATATTTTTATATTATAAATATATAAAATAATCAATATATTTTGAAAAAGAATCGTGACGTGCGTTAAAAGCAATACAAACTAATTTAAAAATTTTTAATTTTTATAAAAAGAAGGAAAGTTTTTATATGTATAATCAGAATTAAGATATCTGCGAAATAGAGAACGAGATAATTATGTCAAATACAACCTGAAAGTTGCATCGCAAGGATAGATTATTCTCACGGAAATCAGGTTTCCCTTGTTTGAAACTTAATATCTTCTGTTACCTTGTTTCTGACAAGAT